TATAGTATAAATGGGTGCGGTAGGTAACATAAATTATACAGTTTTGGGTGTGGATAAGTAGGTGGGTGATAAGGTGTGAAAAAGTAAGGTTAGGGCTGGAACTAGAGTTAAAACTAGGTTTAAGCCTACGACCACGGTTAAGGCTAAAGCTAAGGCCAAGGCTTTGTACTGATTTATATAAAACACTTTAATAAAGCTATGCCACACTGTTTTACATTACCAAAATTTGCTACAGGCAGAACGCACATGACAAAAACAACATCCAAAACTTGTTTCCCGGTTGTGAAAGGACATCACATTATTTACAACAGTTTAGTTGATCTGTAAGCTAAATACGTAGTCAAAACAACTGCCATTCCTGCTCGAATTACAAAATCGACTTTTCCATGATTTTTAAAGGTGGTTAGGCTAAAAATAACGGTAAAAATTGTCTAGAAAATTCATTGAAAGCTATGGGGGTTTCTTTGCCGTAATTGTCCGGTACGATAAGAAAGGTGAATTTAAAATAGTTTCGATCATTTTAAAACGGATCTTTAGGCAAAAAAGTTCATTTTTTCCGTAAAAATAAATCTTAGACTTAAAAAATCTATCTTAGGCTTAGAAAGTTAATTTTAAGCGTAAGAACTCAAATTTATACTTAAGAACTTAACTTTAGGCTTGAAAACGCAACTTTGGCTTCAGGAGCTCAATTTGAAGCTTAGAAATTTTATACAGGCTTAAAGACTAACCTTAACTTAAGAAACTCAATTTTAGGCTTAAATGTTTAATTTAGGTTTAAGAACGCAAGTTCAGGCTTGTGAACTTAACCTTAGGCTTAACAACTCAACTTTAGGCCCAAAAACACAATTTTAGGCTTAAGAACTCAAGTTTAAACTTAAATTTCATTTTTTATACCTATATCAAAATAAGCTTTTGTTGTTTTTTAAAAATCACATTCCTTTGAAAAACCCCATGGCAATTTTAAAACACTCCGCATGTATACTTTCACAATGAAAGTGCAGTTTACAACATGATCATATGTGGTATCATCATGTTATTTTTACATAGTAGCTTGTAAACCCATGTCTTGTGTTGTTTATGTTATTTGTCTGTTAAATTTGCTGACTTTAACCCCAAATTTTTAAAAAACAAGTGCAAGTACACAAGTGAGAGAGCGTGGGAAATACGGAGAGTGGTTAGTGAAAAGAAGCATAATATTTATAAAATGAAGAAAGTAGGTAAAGATAAAGAGATAAATGAAGAAAATAACTCAAGATAAAGAGAAAATACATATTGAAGAGAGTGCAGACAAGAGAGAAAGAGAGAGAGAGAGCGAGCGCGTCAACAAGAGACAGTAGACAGACAGTTAGACAAACTACGGTTTTCAATAAAAATCATCGATGGAAACGTCGTCTGCGATGATAAGGAAGTCTTTTTTATGTGAACTATAGGGTATCCCCTAAACTGATGATAACTGATAAGGTCAGTGTAACCTTACACTTTGCTTTTGAAAAAGATTTACGCCAAAACATGTTTACAATGATACAACAACACTTTACTTTGGTAAAAAACATCATATTATACAACCGACAATAAAATATGTAAATTTACTTTAGTTATTAAAGCAAGAAGTTAATAAACTATGTTATAGACTGTAAAAAATGTTGCAAGACCTAATGAAGACTGTAAAGTAAGGTACATGTAAGCTACTGACTAGATGTATAAAAGCAACAAATGTTCATACTAGACACTAAAAACAAGAAAAGTTATATTACAAAAGATACCAAGAGTAAAACGTGATTTATTTTACTGTTAAACTATGGTAAACCCTAGACATGAAATAGGTCAAAGATAGAAACACAATACACGTGATCACCGTGATAGACAAGTTTGTTCTTACCAAAGAACAAGAGTAACTATTACAACACACTTTTTGTTATATATGTAGCTATTACAGCGAAATCTTTGTCACATATGTAACCATTACTGTATTATTGTGATTGTAAACTTTGTTAGTGTTACAGCTTGATGCTTGTACTATTTTCCTGTTAGAAACTGTACTTTTGTTATTGAACTTATGAAAGTAATATAGTCATGCTTTATGTATAACGCAACGAGGGTATAGTAGGATGTTTTGTGGTCTGTATTTGTGTTTTGATTTAGTTTTTGTTGTAATGGTCATTTCATATAATACTATGCTCTATCACACGTCTGATCACTTATAAATCACAAAGGTAAGAAGTTCCAAGTCATCAAAAGGCTTAAAGCCATTATTTGATAAAGACCTTTTCCATAATTACTACCTAAACTTCACATGCTGTACCCAACAATCCCGTATATCCCCTACACGTCACATCTTCATTCGCCCGACCCATAAATCATACAAGGACAGTAGAATGATGTATGAACGTGTCTGCAAACGCCATCCGAATTTTTTGTTCTTTGTACTACTATTCATTATTACTACTCGCGCAGATGAGAGTATAATAATCATTTTTACAACGTTTCGCAGAGAGACTATAGTAATCAATCCTACTAGTAACGTAGAGAGTATAATAAATATTAGTTTAGCAGAAATATTACAAGTTTGTTCAATAGTTTCTTATAAACAAAGTTTTCCGTCAGACAACAAGAAAGTTTCCAAAGAACAAAGAGAACGCCAAAAAAAGAAATGTTTTACTTGTCAGAGAGCTAGAGCAAACTTTTGATAAGGAATTCCCTTGAATTTTTTGCATTTAACAATTACTCCCGCCTTTTTCGTCTCACTGCCTGACTTGTCTATTCATAAGGAATAATGTCGTTTGAATTTTTTTGAAAAAATTTCACCACGCCCGCTAAAAATGGCTACAAAAGCGTTGAAGCGGGCCCGGAGATTCCCACAATACATTTTTTGCTTGCATTGTTTCTACTGGTTTTTACTACTGTTCTACATGAGTTTTTAATAATGTTGCTAGTGTTATGAAGTTAGAGGTGTTGAAAAGTTTTTTGAAATGTATAACGACTTAAAATTTTTGAATAAAATTGAAATATTTTTAATTTTTTTATTAGGACTTTTTGCGAATTGTTGCATTTATTTAATTTGTACGCTTTGCTTTACTTTAAACGTCTCAAAGTATGATTAGTACGTCTATGAAGTTGTTCAAACTGTCTGAAAAAACGCTCAAAAACGGGCTGAAGTCTTTGACCAGTCCAGTAAGATGGTCAGTTTTTAAAAAGGACTACAAAGCTCTGGCCAACATTGAATTTAAAACGATAGTCAAACACAGAAAAAGCTGGTAAATGAGTAAATGCTTGTCTTTTTTTGGTCCAGTATAACGATCAGTGCTTACTAAAGCCTACAAAGGTATTATCTGATCCAGAACTAGTCTTACAAGCTTACTTGGCAATTAATGATTGAAAAAGTCTACAAAGCTCTGGCCAACATTGAATTCAAAAAAATACAGCAAATACTGGATGTAGCCAAGTGTACTTAGCCAAGTGTATTGCAACTTGGTTGTCTTAACGTTTGCTAAACCAATTTATCTTCTTGGCCTAATTTATCTTCCACTTTTGCAAGCTTATTATCTTTAACTTTATTAAAATCTAGCGTTAAAACTCTTCGAAATTAAAAAAGTCTAAGTCGTCAATAACTAAGTGAACATTTTTTAAAAAACCCAAAGCTGCCTCTCTAATCTTTAATGTCTCCACAAAACAAAAGACAATAAGTCAGACATGAGAATGTCATATACACAACAAATCATCTAATCATAACACTCTCCGCGACACAAAAAAAGAGGTTTTCGTGCAAAAGAAGCAGGAATCGTAGCTATTGCAACCATTCACATGAATTTATGTACTTTTTGCGGTTTTTTGGTATAGACTTGTTGTCTCTGTAGTTGGGGGAATCTGCTTGTGTCTGACTTTAGGTATTTTGTTTTACTATCTATTGTATGTTCTTTTAACTACTCTGTCATTTGCCTTTTTCTTTATACTCTTTCTTCTCTAATGATCTTTCGCTTACGTTTCTCTAACCGTCTCTCTATCTCTCCTTTCTCTCACTTTTTCATTACTTTCTTTCTCTCCCCCTTCTCCTTCCCCTTTCTCCGCCAATTGATTTGGGTGGAGGTTTCGTCGAATAACGGAACAGCCCAAAAATTATTAAAACCATGTGATTCGAAAAAACCAACCCATCGTATTTAATGGAGAGAGTAAATTAAATTGTAATCACTTTCAAAGATTTTGTAATTGGGCGTTATTGAGAAGAGATGTAGCTTTGTGCTGTTGATGTAACCTTTCTGTAATGGTGGGAAGTGATCTTAAGCATGTGTAATTTTTTATGATAAGGGGTGATTTGTAACTTTGTGTACACAAAATTGACCTGTAACGTCATATATGACGATGATATGACGTTCATGGGCAAAAGATCAGTTTACGGATATTATACTAGACGCAGAGCTTTAGTTCATAGCGTTTTTAGGTCATATCTTTTTTTTTCAAATATTTCCAAAATTTTAAAATTTTAACGTTACTACACAGTAATATGTTAAATTTTTTAATTTTGCTTGCTTAATTTTAAAATAATTGCTTTTCAATTTGATTTTGAAAGTATTTTTAAAAGTTTATCGTATATATTAATATGCAAATTTATTTCCGTGAAACTTCCTACGCGTTAAAGACATACCACAATATCTTATCAATTGATTTGTTTATTCAATTTTACATTTTCAGAACCAAAAATTGCTCCCCAAACCATTTAAGCGTAACGTGCCCGTGCAGGAAACATCGAAGTTGAACTAATCCTTCTACTTCGATATCAGAACGTACTGTTAAGTCACACCTAACGGGCCGTTCTTCAACTCACTACAACTACCACTACAACACTCTACATAGCTTTGCTATAACACTGTTTTTGCAGTGAAATTTCAAAATTTAAATTCAAAACAAATTTAAATTTTGCCAAGGTTTAAGACTCAAGATTTGAGGACCTACTACAATATATAACTGATACCGGTGATCAACATAAACTCAAATTTTAACTCAAAATGGTCCAATTCGAAATTCCTGAAGTCTCTACCTTAAAATCTTACACTGAGGAGGAAGTGGCCGACATGGCCAGCCCCGAACGCATTCTTGTTATCATCTACGATCTCGTCTACGATCTTACCAAATTTGTTGACGTACACCCCGGTGGTGCTGAAATTATTTATGAAATGGTAAGGGATTGTTCTTTAATGTTGTTAGGAATGTTTTGAAGTTACTTTTACTAGTATTACAGTTTAAATTGACTAGTAATTGAACGTTTTTTAACATTTTTTACAAATAGCGGGAACTTTGACTTGTTTTTCTTGAAAAGCTAGTTACAGTGTCTTTTATAGTACAATTTACCTAAAATTTTGTGAAAACATAGTCGAGACAATACACTAGCTAATTTCCAAAACAATTTTATAAAATTATTGAACGAAATTTAATTATTGATTATTTTCAGAACGGTCTTGATGCCACTTCGGTCTTTGAAGATGTGGGCCACTCCAAACTGGCTCGCACCATCCTTCTGCGCTACGTTGTTGGTCGTGTTGCTCGCAACAACATGGACAAAAAGCTCGAACAATACTCGGGTTTGGCTACTATGCAGAACATTAGATTCTGAACTAGTGTTTTTAAGTTTTAAAATTTATTTTTTCTACTTTTTTGGCGTTTTTTCTTAATTTTTTGTAATTTTTCACTCGTTTTTTAATTTTTTCTAATTTTTTTATTGAAAATAGAGTCAAAAATGTACTTTACATTACATTGTATTCTCCTGACCATGACATTTTATAATCTACCACAACTTTTGCCTTGAGCAACCATGACATGTAGAAAATCGATATCAAATCTCTTTGAAACGGGAAATCTGATTGATCTGACAATAGTGTCTTTTACATTGTTTATTTTACTGTACTGTATTATATTATCTACTCCTTCTTACAATTTGGAAATATAACTTAATCATCCGTATTTTACCTTTTCTTTAACAATGCTCTTGCCATTTCTTACTATTCTTAACTTTATTTTTAAAAATATTTGTTTATGTGACACTATTGGCCCTTCCAAGACCTCACTTACTACAATTGTAAATCAACATGTACATAAGTTATACAAACACAAAATAAAATCATTCAAAATTATGTTTCGAAATTTTAATTCAAAACGACTATGAACGTATTTATATATCAAACAATAAATACCGATGACTGATTTGCTTTTGTAAGATAATAGCGTTATTCACCTTTGTAAGCTAGATAGTTGTGTCGTACATTATACCATGGTTTCAAATGACTTTGGACCTCGTTTCAAGACTACTAGTGGTACGCTAAAAGTTAGTAAGTTTAAAAATGGTTTAAATTTAAAAACTTAAAAAACGCTTAAAATTGAATTTAAGTTTAAAATGAATTTTAGGCTTTAAATGAATTTTAAATAGAGCTATAATTTTTTTCTGCCCAAAATTTTTTAAAAACGTTTTAAGCATAAAGTGATATTAAGCCTTAAAAAATAAACTTCAAGCTTAAAATAATCTTTGTCCCATCTTGTTCTTTTTGAACAAAACGAATGTAATGAAGCATCAACATTAAAGCTTTGTCATTATAACAAAATGCCTTGGCTAGCCAAACAATATTTTGTTTTAAAAAAATATTTATCAAAAATATGATTTTTCAAATTTTAATGCTATACGTTATAACATAAGAATATTGAGCGTACTGTAACTTGCTAGCTACGGCCATGGCCGGGCGCGAGGGAGGGGGGGGACGGGGGGGGCTACCCCTTTCCCCCCCCAGAAAAAAAATTTTTTGAAAAAGGTTGAACGTGGTCCCTCTGTAAATTTTAAAAAAAAATTTTGCAAAAAATCGGCACAAGTAGCTGCCTGTGCCGATTTAATGGACTCCTGCCCCCAGACCAAAAGTCCCCGCCCGGTCCTGGCTACGGCCATTTGGCTGTCTTTGAAAATGATTTTGTTAATAACTTTTTATGCTTTTCTATAGTACATAGATTTCGTTTTAAAACCCAAGGAATATTTTTTGCAACTCCCTTGTAAGAACCTAAAACCTACGTTAATCTCAAAAAGTTAACTTGCTTGTTTTTAATATTCAAAAAAAACAAAATAATTATTTATCACCAACAAAAAGTATTTTAATTTTCAAAACTTACATAGTCTGAGTCTCAGTATCCTTTTTGAGAAAATTATCATCCAGTTTTCTTCTATATTCAACGTCCTTTTGAATCATATTGTTCATGGCAACTCTTCTTTGAAAGTTCATTCTTTTCAACTGTAGCTGTTCATCTGAAGTTAGTGGTGATAAATCATTATTTCTTGTATGACTAGTATAAGATGGCTTATAGTATTTAAATGAGCTAGTTTTATGTAGACTATTATCAAACTTTTGAGATCGTCTGGTTGAAGCTGACCGTGTTATAGGTACTGTGTCTGGTATAAGGTGTGGTTGAGGGGTAAAATCGTCGTATATTACGTCATTTTTATTATTACTATTATACCTAGTACCTGTCTTATCATTACTACTGTATCTAAGCTGCTCATTTACGGTATATCGACCACTTCTGTCATTCTTATCATTACTATTCATCCATCTCTCATCATTGTCATTGTAAACCTCTTTTACCGTATATCGTGAATGTCTCTTGAAGCATCTACATTGTAGTAGACAGTTACATACGATCAACAAGGTTATAATCGACAATATCACAGATATTGTCAGTAGCAATACAATGACAATGTTATGGTTATGTAGCTCAACGTAGCGTTTAATGTCTTCGAAGAGGTTCAGTAGCCATTGTAGAAGCGTACAGTAAGATTTTTGAGTTGTCATAATGTGAAAATTTACAGTATCTGTGCTGTAATATAAGTAAATATTTTTTAAAGCTGATGCATAAAGAATGGCGCGTTTAAATATATTTTAGGCTTGACGGCAACAGAATGGCGCATATTAACTATATTTTAGCTTTGATGCAAAATGAATGACGCATCTTGACAATATTAAACACATGGTGCAAACAAAATGGCGTGATTGACTATATTTTAGCTTTGATGCAAAAAGAATGGCGCACTTGACTATATTTTAGCTTTGATACAAAAAGAATGGCGTGCTTGACTATGTAAAATGAAAAGCACCAAGAATATTTATTAAATATTTTAAAAAATAAAAAATTTTTTGTTGAAATTTGAAAAATACCGGTCGATCGATTGACCACCTAAAATGGCCGAAAATAGGGAAGTTATGGCCGAGGAGGGTCAAGTTCAAGGTATAGAGTTCAATGGTGTCATGTAAGTTTATATACGCGCCATTCTTTTTGCACCAAATCTGTACTATGACCAAGTGCGCCATTATTTTTCTAGCAAGTCAATTTATATTCAAAAGCGCCATTCTTTTTGCATCAAATCTGTACTATGACCAAGTGCGCCATTATTTTTCTAGCAACTCAATTTATATTCAAAAGCGCCATTCTTTTTGCATCAAAGCTAAATTATGACCAAATGCGCGATCCTTTTTTCATCATAATAAAAATGAGCTCTCATATATCACTTTTTGCCCCAAATTTGAATTTTACTTTTCAGCCCCACGGAGTATGTCAGTTATTCTAAAATCGAAGATCGAAAAGCCCGCCAACGACGAAATTACTTCAAAACCTTGGTACGACAAAAGGATAACATCAACTTGTTCTCGTCCCGCGTCCTCATGAATGTTCAACAACGCGAAAAAGAAACCAAGGTGAGTATGGGATATTGGTTGAAAACGGTACAAATATGGATTTTTGTGAAATCGACCGGTCGATAAGTTTTTTCTCGAAATAGTTTAAAAACCATCCAGATTTTAAAATTTTAGGTAACAATGTCGGTAAAACAAGGCTTTTCATGTAAATCGTAAAACATGTTAAAATTTTTATCGACTGGTCAATATTTTTTTTCAAAAAAGTTTAAAAAAAACTTAAAATTTTAGAAATTTATGTAACAATTTAATTTAAAAAAAAGCCTTTTATGTTAAAAAAATGCCAAATTTTATCGACCGGTCGATATTTTTTCAAAAAATTTTTCAAAAAACAAAATTTTAGAACTTTTGGTAACAATATTATATAAAAAAGCCTTTCATGTTAAAAAAATATCAAAATTTTTATCGACCGGTCGATAACTTTTAAAATGTTTCTCAAAATTGAAAAATAAAATTTTAAAACCACAAAACCAAACCGCGAAACTATCGTTTTGCTCTTTTATGACACCTTATACACATATTCACATATACATATTACACTTTCCAGAGTGGCAAACAGTTCATGCGGAATGAGCGCAAAATCATGACCGAACGTTTGAATTTCCTGTTGGCAAAGAACGACCAAAACGATGCCTCGACCAAACCCGAAGTCGAATCGTTGTTGCGACGTTTCCGGCTCGACGACTTGGATCATTTTATTGTAGGTTTTTATAAATTTTTAGGGTTTAAATGAAATTTTAGGCTTGAAATGTAGTTTTTATACCTTAAAAGTATAAAAAATAAATTTTAGGCTTAAAAGTGAAATTTACGCTTAAAAATGAATTTTAGGCTTAAAAATGAATTTTAGGCTTGAAACACCAATTTTAGGCTTAAAAATGAATCTTAAACTTAAAAAATGAAATTCAGGCTTAAAATTTAAATTTAGCTTCAAAATGAATTTTGGAATTAAAAATGTATTTTAAACTCAAAAAAAATTTTTGGGATCAAAAACGAATTTTAGGCGTAATATTAAATTGCTATTTATAAAAATTATTTTTAGGCTTACACTTTGCAAGCCATTTACATTTTTAAAATAATTTTCAATTTTAGAAACCGCTAAAGCCAGTTGACATGAACAAGTTGTACACTTTGGAAACAGAGCTTCTTCATTATAAGCCGGAGGCACCGATGGATCCGATCAAGTACTCGATCGAAGAGTACCGCAAGGAACTGAAGCGAATTCATTTTAACCGAAGGGAATAAACTTTTGGACCGATTTTGTCACTTTATGGTTAAACACGCCATTCTTTTTGCATCAAATCTAAACTATAGTAAAACATGCCATTCTTTTTGCATCAAACTTAAAATATAGTCAAGCTTGTTGTAAACAAAGTTTTTGCAAGTTTTTTTAATTTTTAATGTTTAAAAGTTGACTTTTTAGTGTTGTAAACAAAGTTTCTGCACTTTGAATATTGTAAATAAAGTTTTTGCACTTTTAGCGTTGTAAACAAAGTTTCTACACTTCTGAGGTTGTAAACAAAGCTTCTGCCCTATATGATATTGTAAACAAAGTTTCTGCACTTTTTCTGATCCACCTTTATCCGAACAATGCCACCAATCTCAACAACAATCAAAGCCAAGTGAAGCCCAGTTGGTCATAACTCAAAGCATGACCGTGAGAAAACGGCCCAAATCAATATCAGAGCACAGCTGCTCGATCCGAAACTTTTGCTCTCCCGGGAAAAAAGTACGTGAAGAATGTCAATAACACGTGCTGAAGCTTTAAGTAAAACAAAAGTCGTCAATCAGCATTTGTTTTGAGTACAAGTTGAGTAAAAAAGTAGTAAAAAGTGGGCTTCGAAGAGCAAGAGAATACTGGGAATTGGAAAGATGGATAATATAAACTTTTTTCAATTTTTTAAAATCAAAATATTGTTTAAAAAAGAAAAATGAAGAAAATCTTGTGGGTATCCTTTGCTTCATAAGTTTTTACACCTTTTTTCATTTTTTCTAAAGAATTAAAAATTTTTGTAAGTTTGAATACATCTTCTTAAAACTTTTCATTAAAAAATGTTATTTTTAACTTTATTTTATTAAAAATCACCGAGTAAAACCTCAAAAACCCTCCAAAGTAACCCTTTCTATAGCGAGAGAGCGGGCGAAAATAAGAGATAACAGAAGTAAGGTTAGAGAAAGAAAGAGAGACCAAAAGAAACCTAAACCCTCAAATGTTTTTCGTCTGGCAGGCCGATAAACCCAGTCAAAAAACAAGTAAACGATTTTATTGGCTCGAGAAATGAGCTGAAAGCGTTAAGCTTTTGTAAAAATGGCGAGGAAGACGTGCTTAGGACACCTCTGATTGTCGGAGAAGAGTGTAGCCAAGATAACTGAGCCATTGTAAAATAAATTATAGTCCAAAATTGTAAATTTATTGAAATTCATATATTCATACTACCAGATTTATATATAAACATACATGTTGCATTAAAATCAGGAAAAGTTTTGTCATTTTTAAACAAAGTTCTGCGCGTATAAAGCGACAAGACTTTTAAACACATAATTTTTATTAGGTAGCTTGGAAACAAGCAATATTTTAAGGATATTGGTATTAAAAACTGTTAGAAAATTCATTTTTAATGATTAAATATCATATTTTTTAACAATGAACATTATGTTACAGTGGAACCCTGTATAACAAAAATTGAGTATAACGAGCAACTTTTAATCTCCAAGTGATTTGTTGTGCAGGGGTTCCACTGTATTTTCCATGAGTTGCAAAGGTACTTTATAGTACTTTTTAAAAGTTGCTCATAACCTTTTCAACAGAAACTTATATTTTTTGAAAAACAGGTTTGTGTCATAAAAACAAATTTGATGCGTTTGAAATGTCATCCGGCTTGAAAAGTTTCAAAAAACGTGCATAATGGCACGTGGTAAACAAATGAGATTTTTTTAAAAATTATATTTATCATGGCGTTGACAAAAAATATGACCTAACAATGAAAGTTCCCGACCTGCCTTCGTCTGATTGACTGCTGCTTCAGAGTGGGGCAGCTTATAAAATTACAAATAATTTTTTTTTATAAAAAATGTAAGGTTTTCAGATAAAAACGTGTATTTTAAGGTATTCGAACCCTTCCGGTTGGTTTTAAAACAACATATGATTTTAGAAAAAACAAAAGGTTTTGCACGAGGTCTTTGACAAATCATGAAGGGTTTAGGTCATCCGAAACAAGTTCGTAGAAACACAATTGTCACCTGTTACTGTGTTTGTAAATAACTTTTGAAAGTTTGTGAAAAAAGTACGCTACAGTAAGATATTTTGGGCTTCCTGGTACTAACAAAAAATATTTTTAAAAAATAAAAAACAACATTTTTTCAAAATTGTAAAATTTGATATAAATAAAATAAATTTTAAAATTTTAGCGTTCATGAATATATTTTATGTTCAAAAACAACGGTATAAACCTATTGGAAGCTTCTAAAACGATTGAGCTCGAAAAGGAAAGAGGATGCAATGTGTACACCCATAGCCCGTTGAACGCACGCCATCCCGTCGGATCTGGCAAGTTAAGCAACGGTGCGCTTGATTAGTACTTGGATCGGAGACGTCCTTGGAATCTCAAGTGGCGTACGCATTGACTAATTTTATCAGTTTTTATGTATGAAAATGACATTTTGGAGTATTTTGATCTTTTTTATGAAGAAACGTTGTTAAAATACTACTTAAAATAGCTTTAAAATTTAGTTCTCAAATTAAAAATTACATTTTTTAGCTTTTATAAAAAAATGATCAATTTAAACTTTAATAAAATTAGTTTTTTAATTTTAAAAATGTAAAGAAAATGTTTTTCTTATTTTACATCCCCATGCTAAAGCACTTTTGTTTTTATTCCTTTTTCTTCAATGTTTTCAGGATTGACCTTCCGTTGAAACACATGTGTTTTTTCCTACAAATTAAGACATTTTTGCAACCTCGCGTGGGCCCACCTGCCTCACACTGATCTTCAAAAATTTTTTGGGAGAAAGAAAAACGATTTGGCCATTGTTCATGGAATCCGCCTACTCTTTCGAGCTTTTTTGATAGCAATTCGGGGGGGCCTTATATCGAATGGGGGCATCTTCTTGAGCAAGAGAATAAGGGGCATTATATTGGATATCATTGGAAAAAGTGGAAGTGATTCAGAAAATTTATTGTTTATATTTAGATAAGGTAGTAGAAAGGTGTTTTTTAGAGGAGGGTATATTGTCATCAAAACATGAAAAAGACACAAAAATTATGAGAAAAACCTGATTTTGATGATTTTTTTACTAAAATACGCCCTAAATGACTTTAAAACGCCATAACTTTTGTCTAGCCAAAAATAAAACAGTTTAATTTTGCCAATACAAAGCCTACAGTACTGCTTAAGTTATATAAACACCACTTTTTGAATTTTTTTTATACTAAGCCGTAATGGTTTCTTGAACATCTTTGACAAAGTTTTGCAAAATTTAACTTTTAAAGCTCATAACTTTGGGCTAATATAGTAAAAAATTGTAAGATTGTGCCAAAATTTCCTTCAGAACACTATTTTACAGCCCCAAAAGCATTTTTTTAAATTTTTGAAAATTGATTTTTAGCGATTTTTTAAAATTTTTTTGGCAGAATTTTTGGACAGTGCGCGTTTGAGCTTGCATAACTTTCGACTGGTCGATTATAATAATGCGAAATTTTGTGTATAGTCTGGGATGAATGTAATCTTTCTCTTATTATGTTTTTTTTATTTTGAGGTTTTAAGCCTTCAGGGGATTTTTGAAAAACTGCGTGCGAGGAAAAACATTTTCAGAAAAAAGGTTTTCTTGCTATAACTTTCAAATGCGGTAATTAAAATTTTATAGTTTGTGCATATCAAATGCTTGGTATATTTTCTTATTTTTGTTAAAATTTTTAATTTATACCCAAAAAATTGCGACCAATACTAGCTTTTTTCGATTATCCATGCGTCCTGCCAAAAAACCTGGAAAGGTGTGCCTATTGTGCCAGAAGGTGGGGCATTCGAACTTTCGTTGGGGGGAACCCCGATCTCGAAATGTGAAGGTTGTTATCTTTGGCAGGTGTCCCCGCCTCCTCCTCGGTTCGGTTGTGGCCACTCTCGATCACTCTTTAAAGGTCCGGCCCGATATCGGCCCGTTCTCAACATTTATTCGATTCAAATGTGCATCCGAAACATTTGAATGTGCTTTCGAAATGCTTGGGAATTCAATATTTTTTAATGTCAAATCGATTTTTGGGAGCCCTTAGGGTGTGGGGCTCAGACTTTATAAAAATTTGAGATCATAATGTGTGGTGGTGTATAGGGGTTACTGTAGTGTACTAGGGTCAGAAGTTGAGCCTTTGATTGAATCAAGTAGTAGGGTAATACTGAGGGAAATCCAGGACAAGGCAAGTCTTTTAACAAGTTTTTTTAATAATTTTTTCTTCGACCGGTCGAAAATTTTTTTGGTTGTAAAACATTTTCCTTTTTTAATTTCATTGTTTATCTTTTTAAGGCCTTGCATCTTTCAATTTTTCAAATTTTTTTGAATTTTGTGATTGGCTATCCATTTTTAGACCGTGTTGCATAATATGGTATCAGTAAATACATCGATCGTATTTTAACATTTAAAAATTTAAATTTTCAGAAATTTTGGGCGAATTTCTCATAACTTTTGATTTCGAACATGGCGGAATTTTCCGACTTTACTAAAGATGATGGATACCCATACTTGGCCGTATCCCAGGAGGAGAAGATCAGCTACACCGCGAAGCCGTTCGACTCCAAGAAGAACTGTTGGATCCCCGATGAGGAGGACGGTGAGTTAACATGGCTTTTAGAACATAACATTAGATTTAAACTGAAAAAATGTGGCAATATTAACACTAAAATTCTGTTTTTACACAAAAATTAAAAAATTAGGGTATAATTAGATGTTTTTGTAGATTGAGGGACCATAGCGGCTCGAATTAAGTGTAAAACAACAAAATATTGCCTTTGAAAAGTTAAGCCATCTTTTCTGAACATTACTACAATGATTTCTATGAAAAAAACACTAAAAATTTGGGGCAAAACATCAATTTTCCTCATGGTTAATATAGGGACTGGCTTAATCTTTCGAATTTTAAAGTTTTATAAATTTTGTTGCTTCAATATTGTAAAATACGAATCAAAGAAGTAGCGGAATCGTAATACGCACATTTTAACACCATAATCTCAGATTTTTATTGTTTATTGGTTTTGAGCAAAAAATTTTGCTGCGCTTCCAATGTTATTCATGGTATTGGTCAAACTTTTAATGTGTTTGGCGTTAATTATGACTCGTTGTAAAATATGGTTTTATTTGGTGGATAATCTAATTGTGATTGTTTTGATACCAAGGTCTTACATTTTATTGCATTAGACAGCACGTTTGCTTCAAAAGTTTAGCTTTGTTCCAAATATTGTCCATGGTATCGGTCAAATTCTGATGTTTCTTGGCTTTTAACCATAAGACATGTTGTAAAATATGGATACATTTGCTTCGTCATTAAATTTCGATCATTTCGATGCCAAAACCGCATGTTTTTGTAAACTTTTCACGCACCTTTGACCCAAAACCATCACCTCCACTCGGGCCGATATTATTTACGATTCGGGGCGAAGCGTGGGAGGCCGAAATGTTTCTGCCGGCTGAAATAAATAGAACAACTGTGCCAAGTCACCTTGCTTCCGCGAAACTTTTGACGCCTGTTCCTGATCTGTTTCTGCTCCAATCTTCAAAGAACAACAGGCCTTCGGGGCCGGATAAAAACGGCCAGGTGCTGCTCTCGACCCGCACTTTTGATGGTTGGATATTAATGGGCTTTCAGGATTAAAATGCATTAAAACAGAATCGGCACAAGAAGCTGAAGAATTTCGGATTAGGAAGAGCGTTGAGAAGGCTATAATAACATTATTTTTTAAAAGAAACAGTTTAAAAATTAGATTTGGTTCAATAACCAAGGATACTATTGTGTTAGGTAGCAGAAAAAGGTATTACAAGTAAGAAATCAATCAAAACACATCAAAATGCAGTAAAAACTCTAGCAAAACATAGAAGAACAATATGAAGCTTCTTATAAAGTCAGAATTTCTTTCAGAAGTAAAGAATCTCCAAGAAAATCAGGGTTTCATTGCTTGTCAGTTTTTTGTGGCATTCTGTTGCAAACGAAAATTCTTTTATTTTTCCTTGAAATTTTATAAAATTTAATATTGCCAAGATTTTTCGAAGATACTCATGTAAGTTTTTTTGGGTAAAATACGTTTCTTCACTTTGTAAAGTTGAATTTTAACCTAAAATGTTAAAACTTGAATTTTGGTTGAATTTTGAGTGTTTTGAAGTATAACATGGCAATATCGTTCTAGAAAATTTATAAAATTTAAATTTAGAGACGTCAGGAAACTTGAAAATTAAATTTAATGATTATATATGATCAGTAAAATTATTTATTACCTAAACTTCAATAAATATTTTGTTACTTAAAATTTTGAAAGTTTTTTTGTTATTTAAAATTCAAAAACATATTTCTTGCTACTTAAAGTTACGGAAAAAGTGTTTTGTTACCTAAAATTAACAAGCTATTTTTTGTTACCTAAAATTTGTATCTTGAAGGAATTTTAGGCGATTCTTGAAAACAATAAAATATTAAGTTAAGTTATCAAAAAAGTTGAAAATTTCAAATTTTAATCCCAAATTTTGCAGGTTTCGTTCGTGCCGAAATCAAGTCATCGACTGGCGACTCTGTGACCGTCGTCACCGAGAAGGGTAATGAAGTTACCGTGAAGAAGGAGGAAGCTCAGGAGATGAACCCTCCCAAGTTCACCAAGACCGAAGACATGGCCAACTTGACCTTCTTGAACGAGGCTTCCGTGTTGACCAACTTGAAGGACCGTTACTCGGCCATGATGATCTACACCTACTCCGGTCTTTTCTGTGTGGTAATCAACCCATACAAGAGATTGCCCATCTACACCGAGAGTGTCATCAAGCACTACATGGGCAAGAGACGTAACGAAATGCCACCCCATTTGTTCGCCGTCTCTGATGAGGCCTACCGTAACATGGTATGTTTTGCTGTTTTTAAGGTTTTGATGACCCATGTTTCATCGTATAACTTGTCACATAGAAAAATTTTTTAAAAAATTTCAAGAAACTTTGAAATTTTATGAACATTCTTTCCAGGTACAAGACCGTGAGAACCAGTCCATGTTGATTACCGGTGAATCCGGTGCCGGTAAGACTGAGAACACCAAGAAGGTAATCTCGTACTTCGCCATTGTTGGTGCCACTCAACAATCCAAGTCCGAGGAAGGCAAGAAGGGAGGTACCCTCGAAGAACAGATCGTACAAACCAACCCCGTATTGGAGGCCTTCGGTAACGCCAAGACCGTGCGTAACAACAACTCCTCCCGTTTCGGTAAATTCATCCGAACCCACTTCTCGGGCTCCGGAAAGCTGGCTGGTGGTGACATTGAGCACTGTAAGTTGAATTGCTGTACTTTGGGGAAGGTTTGTTGCGATTTTTGGTCGTTTTGAGGGATTTTAGGCTTTTTTTTGATCGAAAATCAAAAAAATTTTTTTTTTGAAAAAAGTTGAAATCTAAAAATTTAAAATTTAAAAAATCATAACTTTCCCAATTCCAGACCTGTTGGAGAAGTCTCGTGTCGTACGTCAAGCTCCAGGAGAGCGTGCCTACCACATCTTCTACCAAATCAACTCCGGCTTCAACCCCAACCTTCGTGCTCAACTCAACTTGACCAACGACATCAAGTACTACCACTTCTGTTCGCAGGCCGAGTTGACCATCGAAGGTGTGGACGATAAGGAGGAGATGGGTCTGACCCAAGAAGCCTTCGACATCATGGGCTTCGAAGACACCGAGACCGCCGACTTGTACAAGTGTGTGGCCGGTATCATGCACATGGGTGAGATGAAGTTCAAGCAACGTCCTCGCGAGGAACAGGCCGAAGTTGACACTGATGACGACGCCAAGAACGCTTGTCACTGCTTCAACATTGACCACGAAGCCTTCCTGAAGGCTTTGACCAAGCCCCGTGTACGTGTCGGTACTGAGTGGGTGAACAAGGGTCAGAACCTGGAACAGGTCTCATGGGCCGTCTCCGGTTTGGCCAAGGCCATCTACGCTCGTATGTTCGCCTGGTTGATCCGTCGTTGTAACAAGACCCTGGATGCCAAGGCCATCGAACGTAAATTCTTCATCGGTGTACTTGATATCGCCGGTTTCGAAATCTTCGATGTAAGTTTGGATTTTGTTACCTAAATATCCAAAAACAGATTTTTTAATGCATGAAACGCCAAAATTTATGATTTTTGTTACCTAAAATACCAAAAAATATGATTTTAACAAAAATAACATAAGTTTTATATTTTGTTACCTAAATTATTAAAATGTTGATTTAAGATGAAAAAATTTATAAAATTGAAATTTTGTTACCTAAAATAACATAAAACTCATTTGAATTCTAAAAAATACATAAAATTGACGTTTTGTTACCTAAAACAACGTTTTTTCAAATATTTCTTGAAAATTTCTATATAACCTTCTAACTTCTGCCATTCCAGTTGAACTCCTTCGAACAGTTGTGGATTAACTTCGTAAACGAACGTCTGCAACAATTCTTCAACCACCACATGTTCGTGTTGGAACAGGAAGAGTACAAGCGTGAAGGCATCCAATGGACCTTCATCGATTTCGGTCTCGATTTGCAAGCCTGTATCGAGCTGATCGAGAAGCCTTTGGGTATCATCTCCATGCTGGATGAAGAATGTATCGTCCCCAAGGCTACCGACATGACCTACGTCCAGAAGTTGTTGGATCAACACTTGGGCAAACACCCCAACTTCCAGAAGCCCAAGCCACCAAAGGGCAAACAGGCCGAGGCCCACTTTGCCATCGTCCACTACGCCGGAACTGTCAGATACAACTCCAACAACTTCCTCGAGAAGAACAAGGATCCTCTGAACGACTCGGCCGTCGCCATCCTCAAGACCTCCCAAGGCAACCAGCTCTTGTTGGACATCTTCTCTGACTACATCACTCAGGAAGAAGCCGCCGAACTCGCCAAGACTGGTGCTGGTGGCGGAAAGAAGAAGGGAAAATCTTCCTCCTTCATGACCGTCTCCATGATGTACCGTGAGTCCTTGAACAACCTCATGACCATGTTGTACACCACCCACCCCCACTTCATCCGTTGTATCATCCCCAACGAGAAGAAGACCTCCGGCCTGATCGACTCGGCCTTGGTACTCAACCAGCTGACCTGTAACGGTGTGTTGGAAGGTATCCGTATCTGTCGTAAGGGTTTCCCCAACAGAATGCTCTACGCCGACTTCAAGCAACGTTACAGTATCCTGGCCGCCGATGCCGCCAAGAACGGCGACGAGAAGGCCGCCTCCAAGGGCATCACCGACGTTCTCTGCAACGAGAACAACTTGACCGACGAAGAGTTCAAGTTGGGTCAGACCAAAGTCTTCTTCAAGGCCGGTATCCTGGCCAGACTCGAGGACTTGCGTGACGAAAAGCTCGGCAAGATCATCACTGCCTTCCAGCAATACGTCCGCTGGTACCTGGCCCAAACCGACGTCAAGAGACGTATCCAACAACGTGCCGGACTCCTCATCCTTCAACGCAACATCCGCTCCTGGTGCACTCTCCGCACCTGGGACTGGTTCAAGCTGTACGGTAAGGTGAAGCCTTTGTTGAAGGCCGGCAAGGAAACCGAAGAGCTCGCCAACCTCCAGGACAAGATCAAGGAGTTGGAGGAGAACCTGAAGAAGGAGGAGGGCAACCGCCAACAACTCGAGGGCGAAGTCGCCAAGCTCGTCGAGGAGAAGAACAAGATCTTCCTCGATCTCGAGAAGGAGAAGGGTGTCGCTGCCGAGAACGAGGAACGCGCCAACAAACTCGAGTCCATCAAGAAGGACCTCGACCGTCAGTTGGGCGAGCTCCAAGATCAACTCGGCGACCTCGAGGACCGCAACTCCGACCTGAACCGCCAAAAGAAGAAGGCCGAGCAGGACATCGAAAACTTCAAGAAGAACGTCCAAGACCTCGAACTGTCGTTGAGAAAAGCCGAAAGCGAGAAGCAAGCTCGCGAACACAACATCCGCTCACTTCAGGATGAGATGGCCCAACAAGACGAAAGCGTCGCCAAGTTGAACAAGGAGAAGAAACACCAAGAGGAGGTAAATTTGGTCTAATATTTTGTGAAAAAAATGAAAATTTAGTCATTTTGTTACCTAAAATAACACAAAAAGGATAGCTGGTGACTTAAACGATAGCAATAACTAAAAAATATTATTTTAGATCAACCGTAAGCTCCAAGAGGACCTCCAGGCCGAAGAAGACAAGGTCAACCACGTGAACAAGCTCAAGGCCAAGCTCGAACAACAACTCGACGATCTTGAGGACAACGTTGAACGTGAGAAGCGCTCTCGTCAAGAACTCGAGAAGGCCAAGAGAAAGTCCGAAGGTGAACTCAAGGTCGCCCAGGAGAACATTGACGAGCTGAACAAGCAGAAGCACGACATCGAAGTCAACTTGAACCGCAAGGAACAAGAACTCCATGCCGTCTCCTCCAAGCTAGAAGACGAACAATCCCTTGTAGCCAAGCTTCAGCGTCAAATCAAGGAGCTCCAATCCCGCATCTCCGAGCTCGAGGAAGAGCTGGAGAACGAGCGTGGCAGCCGTTCCAAGTCCGACCGCACCCGTGCCGAGCTCCAACGTGAACTCGAGGAGTTGTCCGAGCGCTTGGACGAGGCTGGTGGAGCCACAGCCGCCCAAATTGAGGTCAACAAGAAGCGTGAAGCCGAGTTGGCCAAACTTCGCCGTGACCTCGAGGAATCCAACCTCAACCACGAGACTCAGCTCGGTGCCTTGAGAAAGAAGCACAACGACGCTGTCGCTGAACTTTCCGACCAACTTGAACAAGTCCAGAAACTCAAGGTCAAGATCGAGAAGGACAAGCAACAAATCCAACGCGAGTTGGAAGACGCCACTCAAGCTGCTGACGCCGAATTGAGAGGCCGCCAAGAAGCCGAGAAGGTCATCAAGAACTTGGAACTCCAACTCTCTGAGCTCCAGTCCAAAGCTGACGAACAATCTCGCCAATTGGCCGACTTCTCCTCCTTGAAGTCTCGCCTCCAACACGAGAACTCTGACCTGTCCAACCAAGTCGAAGACCTCGAGAACCAATTGAACGGCCTCCACCGTCTCAAGTCCCAATTGGCCTCCCAATTGGACGAAGCCAAGCGTACCGCCGACGAAGAATCCCGCGAACGCCAGGCTTTGGCCGGACAATACAAGAACGCTCAGCACGAGAACGACTCGCTCCGCGAACAACTCGACGAGGAACAGGAAGGAAAGGCCGAGGCTTTGCGCCAAATCAGCAAACTCAACGCCGAAATCCAACAATGGAAGGCCCGCTTCGAAGGCGAAGGCCTCGTCCGCCTCGAAGAGATCGAGGAGGCCAAGAGGAAGCTCCAACAGAAGGTCCAAGACCTCACTGACGCCAACGAAGCCGCCAACACCAAGATCGTCTCGTTGGAGAAGACCCGTCACAAGCTCATGGGAGACTTGGACGACGCCCAAGTCGATGTCGAACGTGCCGCCGCCTACGCCGCCGCCCTGGAGAAGAAGCAGAAGGGCTTCGACAAGATCATCGACGAATGGAGAAAGAAGAACGACGACTTGTCCGCCGAGCTTGACGCCGCCCAACGCGACGCCCGCAACCTCGCCACCGACCTCTTCAAGGCCAAGACCGTCCAAGACGAGCTGGCCGAGGCCCTGGAAGGTACTCGCCGCGAGAACAAGAGCTTGGCCCAAGAGATCAAGGACCTCACCGACCAACTCAGCGAAGGCGGTCGCTCCGTCCACGAACTCCAAAAGATTGTCCGTCGTTTGGAGGTCGAGAAGGAGGAGATCCAACACGCTTTGGACGAAGCCGAAGCCGCCCTCGAAGCCGAAGAATCCAAGGTTCTCCGCGCCCAAGTCGAAGTCTCTCAGATCCGTTCCGAAATCGAGAAGCGCATCCAAGAGAAGGAGGAAGAGTTCGAGAACACTCGCAAGAACCACCAACGTGCCCTCGAATCCATGCAAGCCACCCTCGAAGCCGAATCCAAGGGCAAACAAGAAGCCCTTCGCATCAAGAAGAAGCTCGAACAAGACGTCAACGAACTCGAAATCGCTCTCGACCACGCCAACAAGGCCTACGCCGACGCCCAGAAGACCATCAAGAAGCACCAAGACCAAATCCGCGAGCTCCAACTCCAAGTCGAGGAAGAGCAACGCCTCCGCGACGACATCCGCGAACAATTCCTCAACTCCGAGAAGCGCAACGCCATCCTCCAATCCGAGAAGGAAGAGCTGTTGGTGCAAGCCGAAGCCGCCGAACGTGCCCGCCGTGCCGCCGAAGCCGACCTCATCGAGTTGCGCGAGGCCGTCAACGACCTCTCCACCCAAGTCAACAGCTTGGCCGGCATCAAGCGCAAGTTGGAAGGAGAACTCCAAGCCTTGCACGCCGAGTTGGACGAAGCCCTCACCGAGTTGCGCAACGCCGACGAGTTGGCCAAGAAGGCCTCCGCCGACGCCGCCCGCTTGGCCGAAGAACTGCGTCAAGAACAAGAACACTCACAGCACGTCGACCGTCTCCGCAAGGGACTCGAGCTCCAGATCAAGGAGATGCAAGTCCGCTTGGACGAGGCCGAAGCCGCCGCCCTCAAGGGAGGCAAGCGCATCATTGCCAAACTCGAGGAGAGAATCCGTGCCTTGGAACAGGAATTGGACGGAGAACAACGCCGCCACCAAGACACCGACAAGAACTTCCGTCGTGCCGAACGCCGCGTCAAGGAGCTCGACTTCCAAGTCGAAGAGGATAAGAAGAACGCCGAACGTCTCACCGACCTCATCGACAAACTCCAGTCGAAACTTAAGGTCTACAAACGTCAAGTTGAGGAAGCTGTAAGTTTAAAATTTGAAATTTGACAATATGGTACCAAAATTGAATTTTAGAGCCAAAATTAAAAGTTGGTACTAGAAATGAATTTTTGATCCTAAAAATAAATTTTGGAACTAAAAATTGATTTTTGGTACTAAAAATGAGTTTTGGTACTAAAAGATAATTTTGGTACTAAAAATTGATTTTTGGTATTAAAATGAATTTTGGTACTCAAAATGTCGAAAAAATGAAAATTCGATGTTTCAAACACTAAAAAACCTCCTAAAATAACATAAAACACTATAAAATACACCTATACCACAAAAATACCTAAACAATCCAAATACAGGAGGAAGTTGCCGCCACCAACCTCGGCAAGTACCGCCAACTCCAAGCCCAACTCGACGAGGCCGAAGAGCGCGCCGATTTGGCCGAGAACTCGTTGTCCAAGCTCCGCGCCAAGAACCGCTCCACCGCCTCGATCGCCCCAGCCGGTGGCCTGGCCACTTCCGCTTCGGCCGCCGTGTTGCGTTCGTCTTCTCGCAACTTTGACTTCTAATTTCATCCACCATCCCACATCGAAATCCCTCGTTAATTCTATTCTAATCTGAACATTTTTTTATTTTTAAAATTTTACTTTTTTCGGTCGAAAAGTTCGAAACCGAGATGATTTTACGCCCAATATAGTCATCGAGGTCTTTGAAGCCATATTCGACCCAAAATTTAAAATTTTTGAAATATTTTAAGCCAGCTTCGAAGACGATGACTTTACGCCCAATAAGGTCATCTCCCCTTCTGAAGCCGGATTCAAAGTCAATTTGAAGCCTTTTTGAATTTCATAATATCCATCTCTTTATCCAAAGCTAATTTAACGAAAAATTCGACCGGTCGAAAAGTCCACGCCCCAAGTTGAGCCAATCCACCGGTCGAAACAGCTTCCAAATGTTATATCCGATTCATTTTTGTTGTTTTGAGTGATTGTGTATATGCAGAAGAATAGAGTAAACCAAGCATTACCTAAATATGATAGTCGGCTTTTTTGAAAAAAATTTTAAAAAGGAAGTCTTATAATACTTAATGAGTGGTAAGGCATGATTTTTTAGTATCATACTGAAGTGATTGTTCAGTTGGTACTAAGAATTTTATTTCTGGTACAATATAGTACGGGAAAATATTATGGTGCTAGGTGGTACTATAAGATATAATTTTTTTTTGTATCATACTGGTAAGAAATGATTTTTTAGTATCGTATTGAAATTCTATTAAAAAGGTTATTCATGGTACTACATAGTACTAGAAAGTATTATAGTACTAAGCGGTAAAACATGCTTTTTAGTATCATACTGAAATTTTTGTTCAGTTGGTACTAAAAATGTTATCCTTGGTACTTTATAGTACTAGAAATATGATTTTTAAGCACAAAGTGATACTAAATTTAGGAAGGATCCCTTGGTAAAAAATAGTACTAAAGCTATGATTCAAGATACACAAGATATTTCATAGTACTAGAGCCAAATTTTTTGGTACAAAATGGTATTAAAGATGTGTTTCAAGGTACAATCTAGTATTAAAGATAAATTTTTTGATACAAAATGGTACTAAAAGTATGTTTTTTGGTACAAAATGGTACTAGAAGGTACGTTTTTTGGTACAAAATGATACTAAAGTTATGTTTTTTGGTGAAAAGGTGTACTAAACATATGTTTTTTACAAAACAGAGAGCTAACACTTCGAAAGTTTAGTATCTATAAGCCTTACAATTTGTTAAGGTCCAAGATGTGCTTATCAGTCGAATAAGCGGCTCAAAATAAGCTGCGAAAAAAGAAACGTCAAGTTTTGTTCTACAAAAAGATATGATAACATTTCAACAAACGAACTAAACTATGTCAAAACTATCCCTACTCTTTTTACTGTCCTACCTAGTGACATTCACCGAACAATGTCAACGAACATTGTACGTGGTGCCATTTTACATGACCACCAGTTTGCCGGAAGAACACGAATTTTTCCAAAACTTTCTTTCCAAGTGTTCTCAAAGGGCTAGCGAGGAGAATAGCGAAACTGAAATGGTGTATATGAGAGTGGAAGAGCCTAATATTGTGGAGAAATGTATAGTAGGCAAAGAGTGTAATGATAAGATCAAGGATTTTGTTCCTGATTTGGAAAGCATGACTGTTTTACCGTGAGTTTTGGTCTGGTTTTACGTTTTAAAGATATTGGTTTAGGCCTAAAATAACTTACATTCAACCATAAGTTTTATCTTCTAAACCTTTCAATTCCACCTTAAAATCAATATTTTCAGATACAAAGACTACAATTTTGTAAATTACTTCAAAACTCACCTAAAAGACAATGATTGCCTCAAGTACTCCAAAGTGATATTCATAACCAATGTTCGATGCCTTCATATGGACCGCTACAAAGACTTTAACAGTCTTGTCATGGAGATGAACTCGACCTTACTGGAGCTGATGAGTGAGTACGAACTCAAGTTTCATCTCATGTGGATTAATGCAAGTATTATAGATTTGAGTGCGGTACTGTAAGCTTTTATAGTACGGTACTGTATGCTTTTATAGTACGGTACTGTAAGCTTAATACCGTATCAAGGCTTTCAATAGCCAAAAAGTTACAGTAATTAGGTTGAAAGTACTAAAAAGGTACTGTATCAATGCTTATAGTACTAAACTTGGTACTGTAGAAATACCCATAGTACTCCCTTATACTGTGTAGAATTTACAGTACTAAATCTGGTACTGACAACAGAATTACAGTACGTAACTTATATACTAACTCAAATTACGCACTAATTCCTAGTAACTAAAACCCTACCTTTCAGTTCAACTACCTATCACCGGTCGATAATCGTGACTGCGAAATGGGACATTTGGCCAAACCTTACGATACCAAACTCTCAATATCTCATAGTAGACAAAGTGGTATGATGTTATACGATTATGTTCATGTATGCGAACAATACGACAATGACCTACACGGATCTGTCAACGTATGGCTGATTATTGGCCTCACCGTGCTGGGCGTGGTGATTTTGTGCCTAATTTGCTTTGGCATCCTGAGATATTGCGATTTTCCCGGCAAAAACATGCTTAGGGTTAGGTAGGGCTTAAAATGTTGATTTTTAGGTTTGCCCTGCTCTAGCAAGGTAATCCTGGACTAAAATTGAAAAATCATGGCTTTAAGGTTTAGCCAAGAGTCTAGGCTACGCATAAAAAGGGGTTTGCCTCACTTCATAACCATATTTTTAGGTTTAGGCTAGCTTGATACCTACTATAACATAAATTTCAGCTTCAAAGCCCACGATCAAGCCGAATGGAATAACTATGCCAACTTTGATTTCAAAAAGTAGGTTTTAGGCGTATCAGAAGTTCAAAAATCTGAAAATTTTTCAAAGTAAAACCCTTTCAGAAATCACTGGGAGATCCGCCCAAGCCAACTCGTCCTAAACAAGAACAAGATCCTGGGAAGTGGAGGCTTCGCTACAGTATATCTAGGCAGCTACTGTAAGGACGTCTCCATAAATGGCTCGGAAAAGTCGTCGAAACGACAAGTTTTCGTGAAACAAGAACAAAAAGTGGCCATAAAGGAGGTGAACGAGAACGCCGACGACAACAGCCGTGCCGAGTTTTGGAACGAGATCAACGTGATGAAGAAGCTGAATGAACATCAACATATCGTACGTATGATGGGATGTGTCAGCGATCCGATCAGTCCAATATTGGTCTTGGAGTACTGCGAACTTGGAGACCTACATGGCCTTCTCCAGGCCAAAACTCACAATCTAACGTTGAAGGACCTGATGTCAATTGCTTGGCAAATTGTGGATGCTATGAGTTATGTGGTGATGAAAGAGATCATCCACAGAGATCTGGCTGCCAGGAATGTGCTGTTGTCAAAGCCTTTGACTGCTAAAGTGAGTCTCTTTAGTCTAACATTAGAAAAGATGTACTTGCCTGCTAAATGGGTGGAGATTTGATATTGTAGTAGGTAGAGCTAGCCTTTCCAAAGTTTTTAGTCGATTTCGTTTCTCTAAAACACAAAAAATATTAACTTAAAGTTAACACAAGACATATGCTTTATGTTATAGTAAATAAAGCAAGTATTTCTGAAGCTTTCATGAACTCCCTATCCTAAACCTAAAAATTTAACGTTACCTTCACTTGAAAACGTTCCACAAGCTATAAACATAATAAAACGCACAAAATTCATTAGCAAATGCCAATATTATCAATAAAAATAAAATTTTACTTCAGATTTCCGACTTTGGATTAGCTATCAACGCTTCTCCTGAAACCAAAGCTTCATCAACCAAATTACCCATAAAATGGACAGCACTCGAAGCTCTGCACGGAACATTCTCAGAGAAATCAGATGTGTAAGTTCATTTACTAGCTTCTATGGTCTTCCACAAAATTATATCTTTAAAATTCATTTGGAGACCAGATGACATGTTTTCTTTATGAAGAAGTTAAAATTAGACGTTTCTTAATAATATTGTTGTAGCTGGTCGTTCGGAGTTCTTCTCTATGAAATCTACTCTGATGCTGCTGATCCTTATCCAAATATACCTGGAGAATCCTTATTAGGCCATTTGGAAAAAGGCACTCGACCAGATATTCCCGAAAAGACACCTGAAAACATGTAAGGATGTTATTCATGACTTGGTTAACAAAACGTGTTGCATCTCAAAGAATTTTCTTTTAATTTTTTAACATTTAGGCTTAAAAGAATCTACAGATATTGCAGAATCTTTCTGTCAAAAAATATTTTAAATTTAACATTACCTAAACGAGTTGCTGCGAGGTTCCAAAGACATTATCCATGAAACCTGTTGGTTAAAATTTTTGTTTCTCGCGTATCGTTGACCATTCTTAATTACCCTATTAAGAGTTCACCTTAAAAGCTCCTTAAATATCAGTAGAATCTTTTTCCTACAGCATAAGTTCATAAAAACGTCATTAATATATCTAAAATTTCAGAATCCCGATAATGACATCGTGTTGGGAAGAAAAGCCAGAAGATAGGCCAAATTTTGAAAAACTTCATGAAAAATTCACCGAAGTCCTGGATAATACCCAACAAGTGTATGGATATATTGATTTCCAGTCCGAAGACTAATGATTCCATGTGTAAATGACCATAATTATCGGGATCTCCATCGATTACCTACTACAATGTCCATATCCAATAAAATAAAGTAAATTTTTAGCAAGTATTGATGAAAAGCATTATGATCACAACTTAAATAATGTTATTGTTTGTTCTAAATGTACTAATCAATGTTGTTATCGATAACCTACCCAAGTCCGCCGACAAAATTTTGTCAAGGGAATAACTTGACGCAACTTAAAAAGAGCCAACACTTTCTCTTTTGGCGGCTGGTTTTTTGTTTGAACAGCGAGCGAATTTTGCGAAAAATAAGATTTCTCGTTCAACTCCTCGGATTTTGTTGGTTTCCATGACGTTTCGGGGTACCAGGTTAATCGGCACACCTGTCAAACACTTTCTTGCTTATTACATAAACGGTTTTCGGTCAATAGTTTAAGATCTTGGTCTATATAACATAGATTTAGCTGTTGAACGTATAAAATAGGTTTTTAACGCTTTTTGATGTTTGTTTTACACTTTTTTAAGTAGTGTTATGTTCTCTTGAGCTTAGGGTTAAAACAATTACGTAGTTACAGCGTGCAACTTAATTTAGCGTTAAATTTTGCGAATTTTAATTGACATTAACCATACAAATGTTTGTTAGATGAGCGCACGATGCCGAGACACTTCAGATGAAAGTGAAGATGATGAATTTACGCCAATTAGTATGGCATACCCGTTGCAAAAAGCTGGATCTCGAATAATTGACGTTGCGGAGTTGAACGAGAAGTAATATTTTGATGTCTACTGTAATATCGGTTTTTGGGGAAATGAGTTTTTGTAAATTTTTGAAACTTTCGTTACAGCAGCCCAGAGATCTTTTTAAGATTTTTGTAAATCTTTAGGTTATTTTGTCAACGAATAAAGTTTCTACATCAAAATTTATCTGACAAGGCCAACAACCATCTTCATTACCTTTAATCTTCATTTACTATTTTCAGTTTACAAACTCGGTCAAAGCAAGTGAGTCCAATTATTCAACGGTTTAACGCCCGTGCTACTATTGCTTCTGGCGCACCTAGGCTTACAGCTGACGAGCGAGTGAGATTAAGAGCAAAGACGCCACCTCCACCGCCAGTTAATCACAAAGTTATTCCTAAAACAGTGGCTTTTGGGCGGACTACAAAGCTTGAGGATACAGTTGAGGTAAGATTTTGTTATTTTGTTTTGTGTTTAGGTTAATATTGAAAGAAGGGAAGATGGACTTTTGATTTTATGGATAATAAGAATTTGATTTAGGTGACTAACATAAATTGAGGTTCTGAAGAAGAATTTTTGGGGTTGGCGACTAAAATACGTTTTAAAAGTTGGAGAAAGGATTTATCAAGCTTTTACGGGTCAAACGTTTTTGAATTTATTAATAGTTTACGTTTTGCATTGATTTTAAAATTATCCATGACATCAACTCTTTGATATTATTCTAAAAAGCTTAAGTATTATTTTTTGCTTGTAATTTTAAGCTAAGCTTTAGGCAAAAGCAAATAGATTCTATCCTCCCCCACTAAATCGGGCCAAATCAGCATCAACGTTGACCATGCAGAACACTGTCTCTCATACGGTTAGTGCTCAAGTTCAGACTCTTCAGCAAACGGTAGAAGAGTTGGTGAAGAAGGTTTCAAGTCAGGATAAGAAAATCGACGATTTGAATCGTACGGTTTCTCAATTGAAGGCTACTCAAGCTGTTACTTGCACTGATATTGTCAAAACGACTAAAACTTTGAGTGGACTTTCGAATAGATGTGTGCAGAATGAGAAGGATCTGGAGGAAATGAATGGATTGGTAAGGGAATTTGGCTTGATTAAGTTTGGAAATTGTGTATAAGTTTATTATTTTTTATACTAATATAGGTTTTCGATTAAAAAAGGGGTTTTTGATATTGTTTTAGTTTAAAAGTCAGTGATAAAGGCTAAACATGATGTGTTTGATAAATCAAACGCTAAAAGATTTTATTTTTGAAGTTTGAAAGTTAGTTTGATCTAATTTAAAATTTTTAAGATAAAGAAGCTTGAAAGGATTGTCAACAAAGAATCAGTGCCTTATATTAATATAGATGGAGATGATCTTCCAGTAATTGATTGTAAAGGATCTCTACGTGATTTGAGAGACGGAAGAAGTGATGGGCCTGAGGACAGCTTCTTGGCAGTAAGTTTTCAGATTTTTCACAAGAAATTTTTAATTTTAAAATAAAGTAATGGCTTTAAAATGATAAATTTCATACCTAGTATAACATTAGAGAGTTTAAATAATTTTGAGCCTTTTAAAGAAAGTTTCCGTAGTTAAAGAGCTCAAGATTATTCGAACAATTTTTATATAGGTTTATATCTATAATAGAATATGATAATTTAGATGGAAAGAAGAGTTCAAAGAGAAGGCAGAGTGTCTCGAACTGGCAGTTCAGGACAAGTTCAGGCTAGAAGGGAACAACATTTGTACGGTGAAAGACGGTTTGATATGGCCAAGGAGAATTTGTAAGTACAATTTTAAAGGCATTTTTGTGTTAATGATATAACATTGAGATGAAAAATTATGTTATAAAGGTATATTTTAGCTTTTTTTCTAAAAAATATATTTTTAGAGAGCCAGATTCAGCCAGATCCATCACCAAAGCCTACTACTATGTTCAACGTGAAGAAATCCGATCTCCAGGTCGTCAACAAGCTTCAACTCGACCACGCCTTCTCGATGAACCTCCACGAGCTGATCGTCCACGGCCAAGGCTATCTAGGAATGACAGAAGTCGCTACGACTACGGTGACACGTCGTTCCATGATGACAAAGAACGTCGCAATGACAGACAACGTTATGATGACAAACTTCGCATTGAAGACAAACCGCGTCACGATGACCGTCATGAGGAGAAAATTCGTCATGATGACAGAGGAGCCGTCGACTATACCCCGTCTATGAAACAATATTTAGACCGAACGTTTACGGTGAATAACGGTGATCAGGATGATTTGTTTGAATCATGCACACCAACTCCAGACAGAGTACGGTACAAGGAGGAGAACTTGGATGATGTTGAAGATCAAACTTTTGTCAGCACCGTTCCGAATAACGTGGATGCCAGAAGGAGAACCAAAACGAATCACAATAGACTTGTTGCTAGAAGGTCGACTAGGGGTCATGAAGGTAAGGTTTTCGATTTTGAATAGGTTCTCAATGGGTTTTTGACAGTTTTTTCTTGTTTTTTGGTTTTTTTTTATTTTTGAGGTATTTTCTGCTCTTCTTCAGGCATATTTTACTTTTTTTGTATTAGCTTTGAGTGTTATTCAGGCCTTTTTCGATGTTTTTTTGATCTTTTTTTTTTCTTGGTGTGTTTTTTTCGTGTTTTTGAGGTAATTTTTGGTGTTTTTGAGGCATTAGTTGCTGTTTTTTGTTCTATTTGCTGTTCTTGATTTATTTTTTCTTGTTTTTGAGGTACATTTTTTATTTTTAACTTACTTTTTGCACTTTTTAGGGGCTTTTCTTTGTGTTAAGGCGCTTTTTCTTTATTTAGATTTGCATATTGCTCTTCTTCAGGCATATTTTACGTTTCTTGAGTCAGTTTTTGTTGCTTTTCAAGTACTTTTTGTTCTTTTTGCAGTATTTTTCACTCTTTTTGAGTTACTTTTTGGTATTATTCATGCATTTTTTTCTGTTGTGTAATGTTTTTGTTTTTTTTTCAGACATATTTTACTATTTTATTTAGTTGTTGTTGCTTTTGAGCACTTTTTGCGGGTTTTAAGGATGCTTTTTGTACAATATCTTAATATCAAAAAAGTATTTTTTACATATGTTTTATGATTTTAAATTACTCTGTTTAATTTTAGAAACCTTGGACAGTGACATCCCGGAGAACTATCAAACCTACAAAAGCCAGTACCATCGCTGACCTCACCTGCCGGCTTGTTGAGTATTACAATAACCAAAGAGTATTAAAACATTTAAAAACATATTTATTTCGTATTCAATATTAATTAAATTTGAGCTTGATTTATATTTTGGTATAAATATAGTGGTATTATTCAAACATATTTAAATCTATTAATGATAATAAAACTGATGTCTTTGTTGAATTTTGAACAATATTGAAACTGCTTATACCTGGGTCGAACTGTGAAGTTAAAAATTGAAATTTTGATATATTTTTAAGGCTTTTGTTGAAGTTTGAAATTTTTGTGACAATTTGGCATAAAGTAAAGACAAAACCTTTGATAAATGTGGTATAAAGTTAAAGAAAAAAATGTCATTTGTATTTTTGTAAACAAAAAAAAATCAAATTTTTAATAAAAAATTTCAAAATTTACTTTACACTATACTTACTTTTATTAGCATTTTTTTAACCATAACTATAATTTTATATAATCAAAAAGGTGTAGAATGTTATTTTCTACCATTCCTGAAATTTTCGTAAATTTTTATCATCGCAAAACCGAGTTACAACAGTTTTTCCACCCTTCCGTATGCCTTCTCTGTTGTCTCTTCTTTCCCATTTTCTCGCGCGCATTTCTTGTCTCTTCTTAATCCCTCTCTCTAACACCTCTCTCTTTTTGCGCGCTCTCTTGCGCGCCGGTTCCTTTGATCAAGCCGCTCTCTACCCACCCTCCACTTTTTACGCGCTCTCTCTTTCCCTTCTTCGATTTTTTTGTCTGACCAAATCACTCTCTAACCAATAATAACGTCTCTCACCTTTATACGCTCTTTCTTGGGCTTTGACGCTGACCGGATTCGAACCTAAAAGGTTCGTAAAAATCCTGGATTTATAAGTCTAACACACTACCAATACACTAAAAATTGGAAAAAATAATTTTGGCCAAATTTCACGTTTTTTCCATAAAATTGTTATGGATTTTAGACGTGAAAAAACATTTGAAATCCGTCAAAAAATCAGCAAAATTTTCCGGTTTTTGGCTCCAAAAGCACCATTAATGGCTGAATTTCAACTTGGTTCATATACCATAGTAAAAGTAGGTATCTTGCGCACATTTTTAATCATGTCGCTTTTATCTTCTACGGTAACATGGAGATACGACGCTTTAAACACAACACAGTCATGCGGTCAAGACTTTGCGAGTACTTTTCGACCGGTCAATGATAATGAAATTCTGAAACACGATCATATTATCGTATTTTATGGTATTCTCCAGAGAGCGCTTTCAGGAATTTTTAAAATTTTGAGTTCGACATGGTAAAATACTATAGTAAAGTTTACATGTACATCTTTGACTATGCATAATTTAAAGTGCCATAACTTATTTCTCAATGACGTCTCCCTATATTGGAACATACTATAATGTAGAGCATAGACAACAGTATCATAATATGCCAAGCATGTATTTTACTAACTCAAGATACGACAGTTATGACACGACGAAAATGTACTGGATTTCAAGGGGTTTTTTTGAGAAACGTAAAGACTATGTCATATTTAAATGGCTGTAACATTCTTCACAGTAAAGTGTTGTACTAGTAAAAGATACCATCATGTAGAGAATAAATTACTCTATATCACTGTGTAAAAATTATTTTATTTCGGTAACGCATACATTAAAAAGCAGTCATATATAAGCTTTTTAACTTACATAACAAGACGATTATAAGTATAACGATCGTATCTTGACTTAGTAACGCAATCCGACTTACAGTTTTACAGAGTATAAGTTTCTCTACACGCTCGTATATTTGGCTGCGCGAAGGTGTAATTTTAAAGTATGTTATGATTAATCAAAGTTGGCCAACTGGATCAATTAATGATAATATAGACAGTTTTTGTTTAACGTTACATAACTGAATGTTATAGCCATTTAAATATGACACAGTCTCTACGTTTCTCATAAAAACCCCTTAAAATCCAGTACATTTTCATCGTGTCATAACTGTCGTATCTTGAGTCAGTAAAATACATGCTTGGCATATTATGATACTGTTGTCTATACTCTACATTATAGTATGTTCCAATATAAGAAGACGTCATTGAGAAATAAATTATGGCACAAAAATTATGCATAGTCAAAGATGTACATGTAAACTTTATTACAGTATTTTACCATGCCGAACTCAAAATTTTAAAAATTCCTGAAAGTGCTCTATGGAGAATACCATAAAATACGATAATATGATCGTATTTTAGAATTTCATCATCATCGACCGGTCGAAAAGTGACAGCAAAGTCGTGACCACTTGACTGTGTTGTGTTTGAAGCGTCGTATCTCCATGTTATTGTAGTAGAAGAGAAAAGTGACATGGTTAAAAATAAGCGCAAGATACCTAGCTTTACTATGGTATATGAACCAAGTTGAAATTCAGCCATTAATGGTGCTTTTGGAGCCAAAAACCGGAAAATTTTGCTGATTTTTTGACGGATTTCAAATGTTTTTTCACGTCTAAAATCCATAACAATTTTATGGAAAAACGTGAAATTTGACCAAAATTACTTTTTCCGATTTTTAGTGTAGTGGTAGTGTGTTAGACTTATAAATCCAGAATTTTTATAAAACTTCTAGGTTCGAATCCGGTCAGCGTCAAAGCCGAAAAAAAGAGCGTATAAAGGTGAGAGACCTTATTATTGGTTAGAGAGTGATCTGGTCAGACGAAAAATCGAAGAAGAAAAAGAGAGAGCGCGTAAAAAGTGGAGAGTGGGTAGAGAGCGGCTTGATCAAAGGAAGCGGCGCGTGAGAGAGCGCCGAAAAAGGAGAGAGGGGTTAGAGAGGGTGAGGAAGAAGAGAAAAGAAATGCGCGCGAGAAAAAGGGAAAGAAGAGGCGGCAGAGAAGGCATACAAATGGGTAGAAAAGCCGTTGTAACTCGGTTTTGCGGTGATAAAAATTTATGAAAATTTCAGGAATTGCTGATGATATTATTCTACACATTTTACATCAATGAATTTATTTTTTTTTATAATTAGAAAAATTTTTATTAATAAAAATTCACAGAAGCTTTCGATTCGTTATCCAAATACATAAAAAATCATTTTTGTTACCCATTTATTTTTTTTTCAAATTTCAATGATCAACAATTTTTTTAAATTTTAGATAATAAACTCCCACAAATTCATTTTTTGAACGTTTTATTTCGTTTTTCACATAAGATACGAAAATTATTATCATCATTTGGCGTTGGATGAGAGAAATAATATATATATTGCTACGAGAATATCGGATATGGTTGGACGTTTCATTTCGATTAATCGGCACTTTGAAATCGGGTTAAGGCACAACATTATACATGATTTACAGTTTGATACTATATAGTACTATGAGCTACAAGTAGTACAAAGTTTGGTACTGAATGGTACAAAATAGTACCAAGTTTAGTACTGTAAGAAATACGATAGTACCAAATTTAGTACTATCTGATAAAAAATGGTACAAAAAGTGATATAATTTAAAAAAACAAAAAAAAATAAGTGATTTCAGCTAAAATACAGTAAGATAATTAAGATTCTAAGTACCTAAAAACAATTAAAAAAAAATTTGAAAATTAAGCTAAAATACGATGGTAAAACTAATAAAACAGATAAAAATCAAATAAAAAAATTAAAATTAAAGTTAGAGGTGAACAAGTAAGGCTAACAAAATACAACGTAAAATTGTAGCACCATACGACGATAGTTATAGTTACATGACATACAACATAAGTCATTACATTCGAGGTTCGTTTAATAAAATGTCACCACTTATCATTAGATGACAAAAGTGACATTTCTAAACTGAACCTAAACATAATTTACAATATAAAAAATAATAAAAATTTAAAAAAATCAAAACTAATTGTTCAAAAAATTCTGAGCCACTAACACCGCAAATTTGCTTTGAAAAGTAGCACAGAATTATTTGAACAACCTAACTTACAATATATAATACAAGATGATAAAACTATAAAAATCAAAAATTGAGATGCGATGGTTAACAAGGTGACAAACTTCTAGGTTTCAGTTGCGACAACATTCGGTTTCCAAAGTTGCGACAACTTTCGAAACTTTCCAAAACTCGGCGATTTGAGCAATTTTTGTGGCGATCTAGACAACCTTTAAGCCATATTTGCTTTTGAAAAGCTAATTACTGCCAGCGGCGTACTTTTCCTGCATAAATTGCATTAGTTTGGCACCGTGCGTTTTAAAAAAGTCGTCGTTGATTTCGACCGGAGCTGATTGGTTCAGGTTGGTATGTTGGGTTTGGTGGGATGATCCATTAGATATGTTAGATGGGCGTCTGAAAGTCATTTTCATTATTATATTGTCCACGCATCACTCAAAAATGGCAATCAACAACTCAAAAACACTCTTTTTTTCAAGAAAAACACCAATTTTTGCACCAAAATCATCATTTCCCTTCCGGCAATCAAATTTTTACTATCTTAAAACCAACCAAAATGTAGCTCAATGTCTTCTCTAAACTTACCCAGATCCTTTAAAGCTTCCTGACTCCGCATTCGTGACGTTCGTCATGTCGGAGAAGGTTCGTCCCTCTGGCAGTGCTGTTTCCAGCCGGTTTTTGAACTGATTTATGGCCTTGTAGATGGGCCTCAAGATCTTTTCACGTTCCACATCCGTTATTGAGCCATCTTTTTCAATCTGCAAAAGGAAAGCATAAGTTAACTATTATATATGGCATCAAACCACAAATTTTATATTATATTATCTATAGCAATTCTAGTACCTAGGTCTCAAACTTTTGATCGTCCTGAACTTCCTGCCCTCTACTACACGTCATATTATATATCATTAGATAGCAAACATTCTGTAGAATCGTATAATATGTTTTTCAACCCAAATTTTTAGGTAAAGTATCCAAAAATCATGAAAAACTTCAAAATTTCTCAGACTATCAAGTACGATATAAAAAATTTTAAAAACCTTACCATTTGGCTAGCTTGGATCAGTTTGTCACAACAGGTAGTCATTTGTAAGATGCATTCTTGGGCATGTAGTGACATATCTGAAATTAAAAAATTAAAAATAAATAAAATTTTCTTTGCCTTTTCAAATGAAAAAATATTATTTTAGATAACTGGATGATATTTTTAGCCCAAAAAATTTTTGCTTGACTATATAAGCCAGAAACCATTTTTGTAAAACTACAGTAAATTAACTACTCTTTAACAAAGTTACAGTACCCTTATTCATAGCTTCAAGTTACAGTATCCAAACTAAAACCTTTACCAAAAAAGGTTTGAAAAACTTGATTCGACGCAATTTCGGTCGGTTTTTTCGAAATTTCCAACAAGTAATTGACATGTTGTTTTGGTTTAATCAAAAAGTTAATCAAGCATACCTTAACCTGATTATAATTAACGTCACTCTGTTTTTATAACAATTACTTTGTACCCGAAAAGAAAAACCCTCTCCACTACCTTCAGTTTCCCCGAAGTCCAAGTTATGTTCAGTATCCTCAACAGAAACCCTTGTAATACCATTCAAAGCCATTATCTGACCATAAAACCTTGGTTTTTGAGTTGGGCGGATCCTTCTATCCCTTTGACTTGAAGCACTCAGACTTCGGATCGTTACTGGAGCCGTGGGCTTCGTTGGAGCTGTTGGTGGTCTTCTTGAAGCCAAAGAATTGTGTTGTAGAGGTTGAGTTTTAGCGCATAATGACTTGCTGAACGTCGAGGTTGATGAGGACGATGAAGAAGATGATGGGGAAGAAGGTCGTTTGTATTGTGGTGAGATTGGGCTTTTGTTGAAGGGTGGTTCTTTGTAGAATGAGGTTGACATTGGCTCTTTGAATGAGGATTCTGATCTTGATTGCTTTAATAAAGTTGGCTGTGAGCTTGTGAAGGGTTTTTGCGTGGTTGATTTCAAAAGTTGGTTCTCAGGCTTGTTAGGTTGAGTACCAGATCGAGCACGATGAGTACCGGCCTTGTCTCTTAGAGCATCAATTCTTGCACGTAAGGTATCAGCCCTACTAGGTTGAGTATTACCTCCAAAACCTTGAGTATCCCCTGTAGCACCTTCAGCACCACCCCTATCACGCTGAGCCTCAAACCTCGAATCCCCCTTTAATTTAGGTATAAAATCAGCTTTGAACTCCGATTTACAGCTCTCAAAACTCTGAGCCTCGGGCATTTCCGCAAACTTGACCTGCCGACGCTGCGGTGAGGCGGTGGACGGTCGCAGATGGGTCAACATGGTCCTTAGGAATAGTTATTACTTTTGTGAACACGACCCACGACCTGATTCATTCTCACGCAAACAAACGCACCGGTTTTTACACTTTTAATGGGAAAAGAGAGGTTTTAATGCTCGGGAGGATCCGTGAACTCAAGGAAGAGAAGGCCATTTTCAATAAAAATATAAAGCAACGCCTAGAGCTTGAGTTTGGCAATAAAAATATTGATAAAAGTGAAAGAAGAGAAGAGTGGGGATACCCCAAAATTTTTTTTTAAATCAGGAAAAAAATTTTCCTCCCCCAAGACAAAACTTGCTTACCCAACCTTACCTCCGCCTATCAAAACTCCCAAAGCTTTGAAACAACACCTACATAAGCCATTAAACTTAAAATTTTATCTAAAACCGCTCCTAAATCTCAAGCAAAATCCAAAAAAAAAACAATTCAAATTATTTTAACTTGTTCAAATTAAAGCACAAAAAACCAGTAGCAATTACTAAAAATGACCGTTGCAAAACGAAAAAACAATCGTTTTTGAAAAGAACGGGAAACATCACAGCTGCATGCAAAATTGTAATTTGATGCGTCAATCACGTAGCAAAAAAGAAACATTATCCCTTTTTTTGTGCGATGAGAAAGTGGGTTTTGAACCGCGCGTTTGAGATGTTACTGTTTGTAACGATCTACCCTACCATGCTCTACCTTACAGTTTTACATTAGTAGTTGAGGAATACAAGAGTGTACGTTACTATCAGAGAGAAAAATAGGAGTACGAGAATATCAAAAATGGATTCAGACCTTACTGTTGCGAACGACTTAACCCTACGTTACTAGGTGCAAACTACATAATCGTATGTTACTATCAAAGTAAAAACCGTACTACCAGAAGGAAACTGACCCGTTATTCTTTAAATATAGTAACGTACCATAGCAATATGTTACGATCCGTAAAGAATAAAGTGTTATATTGCATTGCAATCTGTTTTTCATTGATTTTTATCTGTTTGCTCATGATAAGACGAGAGTTTTCGAGTGGTCAGAGGTTGTTGGTATCAAGGCCAAAAAGTGTGATTTTGAACAAAAAAATCAAATTTTTTTTAAAACCAAAATAATAATTAGAAGATGAATAGCGACTGGAAGAAGAAGAATTGACATTCAACATATAAAACAAGAAGAAAGCCCCAAACGACCAAATTAAAACGACAAATTCAAGAACAACAACTTCCCAAAACTTTACCAGATCAAAGCGGTAAAATCGCGTGGTAAAGGTTTTGGCTTCAAAGAGCCTTTGAAATGACTCCAGCTGCTCAAATAAATGGCAATGTGACATTACCAAGAGAAAAATCAAAAAGGAAAACGAAAAAAGGACAAACATTCAAATTACTTTGTTGACCTTGATCATGAGCTGGCGTGTTTTCGGCAGAGCCAGATTTACAATTATAGGTATACATTATAGATAATTTTTGTAAAAAGTGAAATTTTATGGCTACTCAGTTGGACTCTTGTTAAGAGACCATCTGAAGCATATTAGTTGTAGAATCAAAATTTGAAACTGATCCGCAAGTCTAAACTAGGCGTCATCCTCTTCATTTTAACAAAGATTCTTATCCGTAATATTCATGTAGCCAACTTTAAATTGATTTTTGTTTTTGCTAGTAAATAATCAACAATTGTATAATCACAGGCAAAACTGAATCGATTCAAAGATTGTTTACATTCAAAACCTAGCACAATATAATGTTTGTTCTACATATTTTGAACAAATTTAGAACGTAAAAAAACCTTTTTGATGGTCTTTATGGCAAAAAATAAATTATATTTATATTTTTGTATTTTTCAAGCAAAATCACATATGTCATTCAGATGTCACGGCTTTCAAGACCAGTTTTTGGGCTTGAACATACGTAAACTCAATCATAACATGACTCTTGACATTAAAGTTTTAATTAATCTTGAAAAAAGCTTATTTTGGCTTATAAATCCCGAAAACTATTATTAATTCCAAAAAAAATTGGCCAAATGTTTTTCCAAATTCATAATCATAATGTAAAGTTTTAATGTCACGACCCTCTCTGACTCAATTCGCTTGTGACCACGCCTAGAAATTAATCTTAAAAGCCGTGAATACTAAATGACATATGTGATTTTGCTTGACAAACATAAAAATATCAATAGTATTAATATCTGCCATAAAAAACCATTAAAAAAGATTCTTTTATGTCCTAAATCTCTTCAAAATTTATAGAACAAACATTATATTGTGCTAAATTTTTAATGTAAACATCTTTGAAACGATTCTGTTTTCCCTGTGGCTATAAAATTGTAGATTTTTTACTAATCAAAACAAAAACCAATTTTAAAGTGACTACACGAATATTACAAATGAGAAGCTTTGTCAGCATGAAGGAGATAACGTTAAGGTCAAGAATGCTCATCAGTTTCAATTTTTGATTCTACGATTAAAATGCTTCAGATGGTCTTAACAAGGTTACAAGCAATTCTAATAGTCAAACTATTATTACAAACTACTAAAAATGCAACTTACTAAGATCAATAAAATCAAGTGCAATATAAAACCAACGTCTTTGGCCTCCGGAAGTCCGTTGAAACGTTGGGATTACTTGTCAAAAACCTAATCAAAAGTGTTTGAAACACAAAGAACAATGAAGGGAAAGACAACTGGGCTTATCGGCATTAAATTAAGGCCAAAACCAAGAAAACACATCTTATGTCGAAATGAAAAAAAGAAGAAAATAAAGTAAAACCAAGTTTTTAAAATCAACTGGTTGATTACTAGAAGACTTTTGGATTGGTTTAGTTAAATATTTCATCAAAAAATAAAACTTTCTTAAGAAAAACTGCATTTCCATCAACTTTTAGACTAAAAGCAAAATTTATGTAAGATCAAATGAACAAACATGTAAGACTACCATCAGGAGGCCGGGCGGGGACTTTTGGTCTGGGAGCGGGGGTCCAAAAAATCAGCACAGGTGCCAATTTTTTGCGAAATTTTTTTTTCCGAAAATCCACAGGAGACCACGTTCAACCTTTTTCAAAATTTTTTTTCTGGGGGGGGAGGGAACCCGTCCCCCCCCCCTCGCACCCGGCCCTGACTACCACCTAAGAAGACTAAAAAGATCCATATGATCTACCGAAAATCAAGGCCCAGACGAAACTTTTTGAAAACTCATGCCGAAAAACCAATTGATCCTTAATCTTAACACATTTCGCAGCTTATCCGAAGGCTGTTTCTATGCAAAAGTGATTAATCAAAGCATGTGTTTAGTTCAGAGGGCTATTTCACGTTAATATTGACTCATTTTCGATCGCAAAATTTGATAAAAATAACTTTTATTCAACTTTTTTCCAAAATAAACATATCAATTTCAAACCTAATTATTTTCAAATTAAAATAATATCAAAGCCAAAACAGAAAAACCATCAAATGACTAGAATAATCACAAAGAATATAAAATTATATCCAAAAATCGTCAAAAATATAATTTTTTCACTAAAACCTATCCCAAAACACAAAGTTAAAAGAAAAGCCAGCTCAAAAACGTCCAGAATTTCAAGAAAAAACAACATAATGTGCTTTTAAAAGTACGAAGCAGCTATTACGGACTCTTTAAAATGGCTCAATCATGTCCAGCTTCAAACTTGTGGCACTTGAAAAACAATAACCGCTCCTGAGAACGTCATCTGGTACCATTCTGGCTTTTTATGATGGGAAAAATCAATGAGAAAGTGAAACTGACTTCGGTTTTACCTCTTGTTTTATGAAAAAATCGCTTATAAGAAAGTGTATATGAATATCAGGACCGGGCGCAAGGGGGGAGTATCACACCCCAGAAAAAAAATTTTCGAAAAAATTTGAATAATGTGCTTTTAAAAGTACCATGTAGATTTTTGGAAAAAAATTTTCGCAAAAAATCGGCACCTGTGCCGATTTTTTCGACCCCTGCCACCAGACCAAAAGTCCCCGCCCGGCCCTGATGAATATGGAAAGAAGATGAACAAAGGTAGAAACTGTTCTGCATCAAGGAAAGCCAAAACCTAGCTTTAAACAAGTACTATATTAACCTTTTCTAGCCCAGGTAGAGATTTTTAGCCTAGATAAGGCCGATGAACAAGAGAAAAAACCGTCATTTGCCAAGGAAAGCCGAAATCTAGCTTCAAACCAGTTCAATGTTAACTTTTTCTAGCCAAACAAAGCCTTTTTTCAAAATTATCATGTTATTCTAGTAATATAAAGCCATTCTAATCTACTACAACTAGTCACAACAAGCTAAAAAATCAAACAGTCTACCAAAAGCAACATAAACCTCATCTTCAAGACAAGAAAGTCCCCCATAACTACCAACAATCAAAAGAAAAACCATTTCAATGCCATCTACAGTCCGTTAAACCGCCCGTCTCCATTAAAACAATGTAAAATCTTTGAGACAAAAAAAGTCACATTAATCCCGTTTTCACAGACGTTTTTCCTCTTCAAAACGGAATATTGTCTTGGTTCAGCGGCAGCTGTTCCCATCCCACCATTTTATGAATCTGGAAGTAATTAAAAAACCATTTCCGGCTGGAGACAAACTTTATGCTTGTGAGATGTGAAAGGTTTCACAATTGTCATCTTATGTTAGGTAGAGTCATAAGTCATATGACTGTCATCGTTACGCTAGGAACACAGTTTTGCCCTTCGGGTCCAGTCCGGATTTTTGAATTTATTTTTCCCGCCAAACTCATATCTCGAAAACTATGATAGATATCAAAATACTAACAGCATCTAGAAGGGTCAGCACTATTCTAAATAGGGGGGTGAAAAAAGTTTCAGACCGATCCGACCGGTAGAAAAAAAGCGCGGGAAAAGAAAATTCAAATTCCGGACTCCCGCATTGGGTCCGGTCCGCGAAGAACTCTGGTTAGGAAAAATGATAACACGTCATTTAGAGATCGCTTGACCAGCAAGATCAGTTTATATGTGTTGGTAAATATTATTCCTTCACCTGATCCCTAGGTGCTATACCTATTTTTTTGTCCGAAACATAAAAAAATCAGTCTCCGCCGACCTCCGCCGAACCTCCACCAAATACTCAAAAACCATGTACCAATACCAAATCCGCAAGCAATTTTTAGTCTAGTGCAAAAAAATCGTCCAAATCGGACCAGTACTTTTTGAGAACGGAGCTTTTACTTTCCTTCAAAAAAGTTTGGACACCCTGTACAATATAATTACGTCCATTTTACAAATATTTTTCCCAAATGTTCACATCTCTATTTTTAAATTGTTCAAGCACATTGTTTCAGAGTTTCAAAAAAAATTTAAAAAATTTCATTTTTTTCTGCCTCCAGATATCTACTACAATATAATTAATGTTTTTGTAAAAAATATTACCCCAAAATTATTTCCTTTGCTTTAACATAAATTAAAAAGCGTTGATTTACTTTTTAAAACCAAAAAACCGAAACAAATCAAAAACTTTGACTAAACGTCAAGTTTTTCATCCAGATACCTACTACAATATCCTTTCCTCAGCCATTTATGAAGCAAGAACTCTCTCGAACACCCAACCAAGCTATTCTTAAATCTTGTAAACTTACTTTTAGCATTAGCCGAGACTCCATCAACATCATTCAGCTCCAGAATCGGGTTCTTTTCCTCCAATTCTCTCTGTTCTTCTGGCTGATTCAGTCTGGACAAGTAATTGCCGCCTTTTCTTTGAATAATACCACGAGGACTGGCAGCCACCGAACTCACTGATCTAAATTGAGTTCCGTTTGGCGTGGCACGTTGTTGAAAGAGTTGAGCACGCTGTTGAATGCTGCTATAAGGCGTGGCATCCGACGCGTTCGAATCGCTATCACCGCTGGTGGTTTGTTGGTCTAGCCGGTTGAAGACGCGAGGATTACTTCGTTCTAGCTGAAATTTTAAATATTTATATTATGTTTCGTTGATTTCAGTTGTGGGCCGTCGTTTTAGTCAAGAGGTGGAAAAAAAGGCCCTAAACAAGAAAAAAAAGGCACGTGCAGGCTGCGCAATCCCGGGCGCAGCTCAAAAACTTCCAAAATTGATTTTTTCGACAAAATCTCGTTTTTTCTTCAATTTCACTCAAATTTCAAACTTTTTTCCTTTTCTTCATTTTTAAAATTTTAAAATTTTAACTTTTGTCCAGATACATTAACCTACCCTCTTCTGGACCGCTCCTTTCCTCAAGTTTTTAGGTAACGTCGCTGAATAATATGCTCCATTGGAGTTGTTCATGTTCACCTTGTCCTCCTGTTCGAACACATCATCAGCCAGGTCTGGATTTGACATTTTGTGAAGGTTACGAACAGAAGCCGTCATTGCCGAGCGTCTTCGTTCGTTACCGTACTGACTTCTGAGGTTGTTTTCATCTGGATGTGGAGAGTCCGAGCTGTTGGGTGAAGTTGAGGTGTTGTGAAGTGAACTGACGGACCGAGTCATTTGTCTTTGACTTCCGTAATAGCCGTCGTCGACGTTCGTTGGGCGTGGAGCGTTGATTCTGAGGTTTCCGATGGATCGGCTTCTGGCCATGATACCTTCTGAAGTCGGCGATGCCGGATCGATCATCCCGTCGGCCGCCATTAACAGATTGTCCTGGCTTTTCTTCAGCTGATCCCTCATTTCGGTGAGCTTGTTTAGAGCTTGGCTAGAGTTACCGAGGTTGGATTGGGTTCGAAGGTTGGCACGGGACGATGAGGGTGTGGCACGGCCGCTTCTGGCGTCTGAATCTCTTCGTCTTTGAAGAGTTGCCGAGATTTTGCGGCTTTGTTGTTCGGCCAATTGAAGGGCCAGAGTTGATGGTGATTGAGAGCGGGATCTCAATGCCCTCAGGGTTTCGGCCGCGGTCATGTTGGACATGGAGGATTCATCTAAAAGAATATCGAGTTATAGCAAAAATGGCAATTTTAAATCAGAATAAAATAAATTTAAGACTAAAAACCCCATTTTCAAGCTAAGCTTTGAAGAAATTCGACAAAAAAAATTAATTTTAAGCCAAAAAAATCATTTTTCCACAAAATTCTTGACCAATAAAACACTTTTTTCGAAAAAAATCTAATCAAATTAAGCCGAAACAGTTGAGAAGAACATAAAACGTTAGAAAAACATGACGGAAAATACGTTCAACACATTACAAAACCGGCTGGAATTAATTAGAAAAACGTTTTTCAATCAATAGAAAAGCACAGTCAGATTAAAAAATTATCTTCTTCTTGAAGAATATTATGTTTTCTGATAGAAAAATCATGATTTTACTAAAAATGCCGCTCTAAATTATGAATTTTCAATTGTAGCATAAAATTTTTTGTCAATTTTGAACAGGAAATATCTTTTTTTGTAAAAATCGTCTACTACAATATTATTTTTTTAATCAAATTTTGCCTAAAAATGCCGTTTTTATTAAAAACTTCCTACTACAACATAAATTTTTCGCCAAATTTCGCTTAAAATTGCCATTTTTAACACACAACATTTTTTCCAATCGTATTTTACCAAAAATCTACTATAACATACAATAATCACTAGCCCTTCAAAAACTTAAAACATACATACAAAAATTGAAAAAGTTGTTGCAACAAAGATAAAAATACTCAAAACGTTACGAAAACCACAAAAATGAACGAAAAATCGACTGAAAATGGGTTAGAATCCACCAAACTCAAAGTAATCGAACCTTGTTCCGTTTGTCGTCGTTGTTTGAAGACACGGCTCGCTAGCCGGCTTGGCGATTCGTTGATATTGGGAGGTTGACTTAGGCGGGGTTGATACATACGGGAGGAGCTGGACCTTGAGGACGACGACGTTAGGGATTCTGAAGCACATAAAAACATAGGAAAAACAACGAAAAACGGTTAATGGTTACGATAAAAAGGTTAATATGAAATTATAGGGACTATATTAAGGGTTAACGGACCAGTTTTAAAAATATTATAGTAGAGAGAAGTGATTAATGTTAATTTTTTAATATTAGTCACAAAAAAGGTTGCCTGGATTAGTAAAAAATTTTAAAAACGAAAAAACGGATTAAAAACTTCAAGTGTAATATAAAAATCATGTTATTATAACCCATTTACCAAACCAACGATAAAAATTATCAAGCATAGTAAACATTCATAGCCACAGTAACAGATGTAGCATTTCTATGAGTTACTATACGCGGCATAGTAACATATTATACTTCAAGAAACAATGGCTGAACCAGAACAGATACTATGTAGGAAACATATGACAGTAAAAGTATATCACCATCACAAACATATACTACCATCTTTCAAGTTATTATCCCTTTCTCTTTGTTAAAATAATCAGTTGCAAATTATCTTTAATAGGTGGCTCAAAATTATTTGAACAACCTACTAGAACACCTTAATTTAAAAAAACAAACTCACGTCGTCTCGGTGACAAGTTGGACTGTCTGGTAGGACTGAACAGATTCGAAGGCCGTCGCTGCTTCAGTTGTGATGGTTTCCAAACTGTCATTCCTTCAGCGTTCTCAACTCCATTCAGGTATCGTTTTGAGATGGAGTTTCTCGACCGATGATTTCGGTCGAATTGAGCGTCGATCATCTGTTGTTGACTGTACGGAGAGCCATTAGGTGTTGAAGCCATTAAGTAGCTTTCTTCTGGAGGCAATGCTGATCGGATTCCATTCATTGACATCGAAGCCGGCATTTGGGCTGAAAATCAATTTTTAATGTCTATGACAATATTTTTAGTAAAAATAAAGACTCATTGTAAAATTTACAGTAAAATTACTTAGTAAAACATATAGTAATGTCAAATTCTTATCATTTTTAATAATGTTATTTATAAAAAAGTGATTTTTACAACAAAAACTGCTATTTCAGGCCCTATAACTCCTTTAAAATCGCTCTATTCAAACGCAAATTACTCCACACCTTCTCCATTATCTACATCTATAACAATGTAATTTGCTCTGTTTTCATACCTAAACTTAAGAAAAACAATAAAAAGTTCTTACCGAATCGGCTGACTGGACTCGAAAACTGTTGCTGTTGAGGCACTTGTGGCTGAGCATAGATCGAGTTCTGTTGTGTTGGGAATGGTAAGGTGCCGTTTGAGTAGTTGTACGTTTGACTGGGGTCTAAAAATATCCAGATATACAATAGGTATACAAAGGTTTGTATAACAAATTAAGAAAATCTTCTTCTTTAAAGCTTTCCACTCTATCTTTAAGCTTATTACGACATAAAACCAGCTCAAAATTTCATTTTCTGCCTATCCAAAATTGAAAAATGTTTTTAAAATAGATAGAAAATCAAAATTTGAACTTCAAAAAACCTGATGTCATGTTTACTAGAAAAATATAAAAAACATACTCATTATGTCACTTTACATACATTAATATACATGTTTTGTTTGTGAAAAATATACTTTTTGTCAAGAAAAGTGCTTTTTCAGTTATTCTAATGCGATTATCATGTAAACCACATTAAAAAAGTGTCAAAATCTAGACCAAAAACATCATTTAGCTAATGATTTTTTGAAATATAAAGCTAAATTTTTAAAAAATCTGCAAAAAATCTCACTACAAGTGTTTTCTATAGGTAAAACTATAAGAAAACTAATTTAAAATGTCAGTAAAGTCAATTTAAAACCCCAAAAAATCAGTTTGAAACCACCAAAAATCATTTTAAAATCTCAAAAAAACGAACCGAAAGTCTCGTTTGGAGGCACGTTCCAGCGGCGTCGCTGCCGTTGAGGCGACACCGCCGAACGATGAATGTTCGACATAGACCTTGAAGTAGTGTAGCCTTGTGGAGGCACCGGTTGGCTGATCACGCTTACGCCCGCGTTTTGGTACATTCCAAACTGATCGGCTGGAAAATTCATAATTATTTTTAGGCTTACCAAATTTTTAAGGCTTTTTTGAGAATTTCTAGGCTTGATAATCGTTTTAATCTAGATTTAACAAAAATTTTTGAATTAAAAATAAATTTGAGATGCCCCAGTCCTTAACAACCATTTACCCCACTAAAACCAGGAGATCTACACCTCGAATCTCCAAAAGTAATGTCGCTCTTGGGAAACGATTTCCAAAAATAATAAAAAAGAATCCGCTGACCCGCTAACAACTCATCCCTAAAAACTTTGTAGAGTTGTTCTTTTCAGAATACGGAAAGCGATCGCATTGTAATCAAAGTTTTAATCGAAATGAGAGCGCAAGCCATAAATCTTTGCGAATTTGCGACACTTTTGGGCGATTCGAATTGGAAAATGGCTTCGAAATCAGCTTTAGTTTTTAATTGTAGATTTCACCTTTAAGCCTAAAATACAACCTAGAATTACATTATGAATCCGAAGTTTCTTTTCTAAACGTAAAATTGAATTCTCAAGCCTAAAACTAATTTTTAAGTCAAAATTTCATTTTTAAATTTAAAGTTCTGTTTCTAGACTTAAAATTCATTTCTAAGCTTGAAATGCATTTTTAAACTAAAGGTTTCACTTTTAAGTCTAAATTTCGTTTTTCAGCTTTAAATACTCCTTCTAGGCCTAAAATTTATTTTTAAGCCTCAAGATCTTTTTTAAACTTAAAATATTATTTTTAAACCTAAAGCTCTATTTATAAGCCAAAAACCCAAAATTTCAAGCCAAAATTTTAATATTACACTATAAAATCCAAAAGTCTTGATACTATAAAGTTCAATGTTGTTAGTCACACGTAACCCCACGTTTCGTTGCCCTTTCCAAAAATAAATTTACAAAAGTTTGTTTCGTAAAGTGTATCAGGTTTCCTCACCTTCTTGTCTCAAATCCCCACTCGAGGTGGCTGCCAAGTTGCTGGTTGATCGGCGAACAACTTCGGTCGGTACACGGCTTATGCTGAACGTCCTGAAAGGTACTTTTATTAGATTGGTGTAATAATACACACGTCTTATTAGTACTTGTAGGTCAAATTTGGGTAACACATCATATTTTTTATAATTAAGAGTGGGGCGCTGAGAGGGTAGGGTAATCCACGCTAGAGAGAGGCAAAAAGGGTCTACTACAACATAAATGTCCAAGACCAAAGCCGAATGTAATAAAGACAAAATTTCTGATTAGTACCGCTAAATAAACAAAGCTTGTTCGAATTTTATGTTCAAACACAATTTTTCGGTAAATTCAACTGATAAGGAAGATGACAAACAAACGTTTTCGAACCGAATCAAAGCGTTAGCTTGGGAAAACTTTAAACTAAAAGGTCTAAATCAACGAAAAATTGAGAAAAATGAAGGTTTTGACTTCATTGTAACAATTTATTTTATCAGAAAATCATTTTTTTCCCCATTATTCAATTAGAACTCTCATTTTTTGGCTTAAATTTGGGCCAACCCTAACATCGGCTCAAATAGAAAAAATTACAAAAAAAAAATTTTCAAAATTTGAAATTTTTAAAAATTGTAAGCCGTCCAAAGCCCTCAAAGCCTAAATTTTAACCCCAGCTACCCCTTCCAAGACCTCAAATCCTCTAAAAACACCTTAAAACCGGCGAAACTTAGAGATTGATGGCGCGGTCATGACCTCGGCGCCACAACATTAAAATAATTTGAGAATAAAGATGAGGGCCCAAAGCAAACAGTCCACGAGAAAGAATATTCACACGCAAACCGAGCAAATACAACGATTCACAGAGAGGATTTGGTCAGGTTGGAATTGAGAGAGATAACTCATGTTTGGATAGGTGGGTAGAGAAGTAGGTCATACTGATTTGTAATAGCTAGGCATATGCTTAGATTTATAATAAGCTATTCTCGGCTTTAGATTTATAATAGGGTAGGCTTGGCTTAAAAATATAAAGTTGGTTTATCATACTTAGCCCTAGCGCTAAAATAACAAAAGTAAAACAAGCGCCGAGTAGACCTAAAAGAAAGCCTAGGCCCAAAAGAGTTGATATAGCTATACTTGGCTTAAATTTTGGCCTAAGATTTTATTTTAAACTTAGAACTAGTATATTAAAATGCCTTTTTAAACTTAAACACAACTTGAACCTAAAAATCATTCTAAGCCTAAAATTAATCCCTAATCCTGAACCTTCCATTCCGAGCCCATTTAATAAAGTTTTAAGCCTATCTAAACTAAAGATAAAAAAATCACTTTTTCTAAAACTCCAAAAAACAGTAAAAGTAAAGTTTTGTTTAGTTTCCGACGGCTTCTCAACGTCTTCAGTGAGGCAGAAGAAGCATCAGAAAAGAAAAAAAAATCGAATGCAAAAATAATAAAATGAAATCAAAACATGTCAAACATCCGGACGGAAAAAAATGTATAACACACATGTATAAGATCAAAAGAGTTGTTTTATCATGACACAAAAACTACCTTTAAATATAGCATAATGTCTGAAATATGTCTATATTTTGCAAAAAAAAAGATGCTAAAATATCGAATTTTGTCCAGAATTAGCAAGCTTTGAATTTATCTGAGCTTTATCATCCCCTCTACACATTTCTTTCATAAGAAAAGAAAAAACTAAAAAATTTTTTTTGATTTTAATCAAAGTTAAAAAGCCACATACACCCTTCCCCTTAGCAACGTCCCTGCTCTACAGTAAAACAAGAGTCAAACAGCTATAACAAATTCTGTTCTTGCTTGCAAAATCATCTTGAATCAAATCAAAAAATCGCTCGACCATCTTCTAATAACCTTCACAAAATCTGTATGAAAAACAGAAAAATCGAACTTGATAACATCTTCTTATATCCAGTTTTTCGCTTTCGTACAATAAAATTTAGACTTGAACATGAGTTTTACTGTATAAATATTAACATTAAAGTTAAAAAATTGCCGTTTGGCTAGGAAATTTTAAGCTAACAAGGAAAGTACCCTACCTGCCCCGCTCAGAATAAGCTCAAATTTTTTATATGTATTCCTTGTACCACCAATTAACTTTCCAGACAAGCTGCTCTTACAAATTTAAAATTGCAGGTTCATTTAAAGGTATTCTACTATATCAAAGAAAAATTTCTAAAAGTCAAAAAATGGCAAAGTTATAAGCTTGAAACACAATGCCAAGTTGGCGGGAAATTCAAAATGTCATTTTTTAATCTCGATTTTCTCGAGATTCCCTGGAAAGCGCGATTTAGTACTTTGCTGAAGAAATTATATTTACATGATCTTCTTATACAAAAAGTTTGAAGTCACTCAAAGCAGGGCAGGTGGGGTAGTTTCCTTGTATTATAAATCAAATTATAATTTCATACTAGTCCTAATGTCTACCCATTTTTGAACCAACTAAAATAATTAAACAAGAAATACTAAACTACAAAGATTAGCCAATATCCCCAAAACAAAAAAAAACTAATTGACCGGAAGCGCGGCCTTAAGAAAAACACTTGGAAAGTGTTGTCAACATCCTGGTCAGCGATTCGTTGGCCACTTGAACGGCCGAAAGTCTTGGTCAAGATGCGATTCAGAACAATATTTTCCTATTCGCCAAAGATCTTTTTTTTTCTTTAGGCTATTACAAGATTAAAATATTATTTTTCGTCAAGTCCAGAATGCTATTTCTCTTAGTGTTTTAAGCCTAACAAAGCCAAAAAATTTAAATTTTCTTCGTTTTCTAAGCCTAATAAGGTCAGAAACGCCATTTTTCTTTGCATCTTAAGCCTAATACAAGCCCAAAATGCAGCTTTTCAATTGTTTCTTACACATTCTAAACCTCCTACAAGTTTGAAATAAGACTTTTTACTAAACGAAAATCGGCAAGTACCGTATTTTAAAATACAAAACAACAAAGAAATCCCGTTTTTATTACTAAAACCTAATCTCTAAACCCAAAACCCCTCTATTTTCAAAAAAAAAGTGCCAAAAACCAGTCCAACACATTGATTTCTAACCGGTTTTAAACTGCTGGGCAATAAAAAACGGCCAAAAGATCGATGTTTTTTAAAAGAGAGGCGTCGAAAAGTCGGCTGTCAGTAGGGTCAGAGATAAATAGTGGATAGTGAAGATCAAGATGAATCGTTTTGATTAGGTTTGGGATTTTGGGACTGTTTTTTATACAAAATGATCAAAAATCAATAAGAAATTTATAAAAATTTTAAAAAAATTTCAAAATAAACTTAAAAAGCTTAAGAACCCTTTTAAAAACTAGCATAAACCCCCAAAAGTTATCAAAAATAGCCACAAAATAAGCAAAACCTACTGATTCTGATCCGATTTGACTTGGCACGGATTAGGTTGTCGTAGACCAACTCCAGAATCAAGATCGTCGTCCTGAGCAACGTTCAGACTGTTCAATGAGCCAAACTCTGAACCGTGATGTTCCTTCTTGCTGGCTACAGCTGATGCTGAATCCGAACCGCTCTCGATCAGACTGTCTGGGGTTGTGCTTCTGAAATTAAAATATGAAAAAAATGTTAATTTTTTTAATTTTAAAATATTAAAAATTTGATTTTTGTTTCATTTTAAGCCAATTTTCACCCATATTTTTTTTGCATTGCGCGCCATTCCTTTTGCATCAAAAATAAAATACGGAAAAGTTAGCCATTTTTTCGCATCAAAGCTAAAATATAGTTGAAAGTGCCATTCTTTTCGCATCAAAGCTAAAATATAGTCAAGCACGCCATTCTTTTAGCATCAAAGACAAAATATGGTCAAGCACGCCATTCTTTTCTCATCAAAGATAAAATATACACATTCTTTTCGTATCAAATGAAAAACGATCAAATGCAGCATTCCTTTTGGTTCGACTTAAAATACAACCCCCATGCCATTCTTTTTGCATCAGTTGTGAAATACAAAATCAGTCGTACCTTCAAAAAATTTAAAAAATTAAAATTTTCACCGAAAAAATCGAAAAACCTTCAAAAAGTCGCCAAAAACGTGTAAAACAACAGAATCTTCGGCCCTGCAGGCACAAATCTACATGGTGGCGGATCAGATAAACCAACAATGCCACACGGAAATCTGGGTTGCGCCTTTTTTTATTTTTATTTGTTTCATTTAGGGGATTTCGTGAGTGACGTTAAGGTCAACTGCTTCCGAAACCTTTAATTACAGGCGATTTGGCGGCAATTCAACGCCTAAATAGCCATGCATAAAGTGAAAATGAAGAGTTTTTTAAGTATAGGTATTAAAAAGTTTTTAAAACTAAATTTTTTTTAATAAAAAAAAACTAAAAAACTTCAAAATTTTTTCAAAATTTAAAACTTCAAAAACGCCTCAATTACCCACACAACCCCAATATCAAAGTTCAATGTGGCCATAAACCTCAAAAGGAGGCCAAAAGCGGTCATTTAGACAAATAACCTTTCATGTTCACCTACCCCACCATAATTCCGACCATTTGGGTTTCGTAGGCCATTACTCACTGTTCTCAAAACAAAAAAAAGAGAGAATGGTATCGGTTAGCAATAAAACGCGTGCAAATAACACAAATAACACGTTTTTAAATTTTGAAATTTTAGCCTAGTACAGTGGAACTGTATTAGGCTACTCATGTACAGCGAATGGCTCGCTGAATTGGAACTTGCACGTTAAAAATTATTTGTACACAGAGGTTTAAAATGCTTATACTTTGTGTCAAAACGTAAAGATCCAAGAACTTTTGAACCTAGAAACGTCGCTGAGAATTTTAGAACATAAAAATAAAAAAAAAATTTTAGCCCTCACGAAGCTAGCTTTTTTTCAACTTTTAGTGATGTAAAATGGCAATAGGGTAACTATCCACCCTCATGCACTAACCCCTTCCGCCCACGGTCAATAGCAACAACTCTATGTGAACCAAGATTCAAAAACAGTTTAAAAACCCCATATACCAAGTAATCAATACTATAATACAATCTGTAAAACGAAAAAAAAACAAAAATTCACATTGTAAATTTCCCTCTCTATCTGCAGGCTCTCTCCCCCTCCTCTACTTTCAACCATCAGTCCAGCCCTACCTTAAAAAAGAATTTTTTTCTCAACCCTCACAATCAGCCACTCCCTCCAAACACAAATTCCCTTTTGTTCTCACATTGTTTAGCCCAATCTGTATAAATTATAATCACATTATAATAGCTCGAGTGAAGCACTCACCGGTCTTGATCAAGTTTGGCGAGCATTCGCTTGGTCAGAAGATTGGAGAGGCGCCAAACGAACACACATCCGCTGAAGGACACTAGGATGAGGCGTCTGAAAAAGAGGAATAGTTATCAATTTGAAACATATGTAAGTCAGGGCTAAGATTCAAATATTTTGTCGCAGGACCTAAACAAATCTTTCGTTGCAGGACCTAAGCTAGCCCCTAACAATGTAAGGCCTTAATTTAGGTCTGGTTCTCTGGCCTTGAAGAATGTAATAAACCTACCGACAATCAGCTGTAAATGTCACAGAAGCTACAGTGTCCGATTGTCCTGACAAGACGGCCGCGCATTCGCCGGTAGCCACGTCAATGACATAAACATAACGATCTGAACAAATCGTTGCTGCATACGTGCCTGAGGGATCAAGAACAAGCTAAAAAATAAAACTTTTAGCTTAAATTTTTAGTTTAAAAAAATTTTTTTGATTTCCAACTTGACCTGAAAAAAATCCACTAACAATAAAGCCCAGCCCAAAAAAGCCAAAAAAATCGCCCCTCCAAAAAAATTTTAAAAAATTCAACTACCACATCCAACCTTACCTTGGTCAAATTGCCCTCCTCACACAACGTTCCTTTCACCGACTTTATCAGCTTTCCATTTAACGAGTACAAATGCAGTTTTCTGTCAGCACAAGCAGCCATTAGGTTATTCTCTGGCGTTGTTACCACGTAATTCGGCCCTCCAGTCACATTTAGCTGCTTCACACGATGAAACGTTGGACCGCCATCTGAATCTGGGTTCAGTTTTCGTACTACAATCAGTTTGTCATTAGAACAAGTGACCATTTCGAGACCGGTCGGTGATGGCATGAACAATATCCTGTAGACACTGCTTTGATGGTCGTCTATGATGGTTAAATGGCTGTAATCATTGTTGGCATCGAAGATATGAATGAGACGGTCTCTTGAGCCTGTAGCTAGATAGTGGCGACCATCACATTTTCGAGGATCAGTGTATTCCAGGCATCTGACTTCGTTATCGTGAGCTTCACATTCCCAGATTTTCGACATTTCTGGGGTTCGGATGTCTAGTACACTAAAAATATGTCGTTTTAGGTTAAATAAAACTAAAAAATTATATTTGCTAACATTTTTAAATATCAAAAAATATTTTTTCCTCAAAAATGATCAAAAATATTGTTTTAGATAAAATAAAGTCAAGAAACTATTGATCTAGATCTAAAACAATCAAAAGAAAATCATTTTAGATACAAAAATAATCAAAAACAAATACGTGTTACTTACCAAACATTGCCATTTTTCGACCCAACAGCCAAATGTTCGCCCAAGTGATTCAACTTTAGGCATCTGATGCCTGAAGTGGCTTCCAGCATATCCGACGCTATAGCTCCAAAATTTTCTGAAATACAAAAATAAGTTTTTAAAACAAAATTAAACTCTATAAAACCCCACAAAACACAAAATTCAAAAATTTACCAAATTTTTTACAAAAAATAATCGACCGGTCGATAATTCAAAGATTCAAAATTTAGACCAAAATAAATCTTTAGAGCCTCACAAATGCCATTCTAAACTATTTTATTACCTAAAAAGCCTTAAAGTCCTTCAAATACCCGTTTTTCCGTACCATTAGACTTATCTACCTCAATATAGCTTTTACTTCAATCATCTCTATAATTTTAAATTTAAAATTACCCAATAAAATTTTCACCCCAATATAAACCTTTATCAGAACTCTAAAATAATTTTCACTTTCTCTACTTTGATATAAGATAACCCTTAACTACCACGATATAACTTACTATCCGGTTGTTCAGTCAAACTTTCGCAGCCGGCTGCCCCCAAGTATACAATTTTCCTCAATTCGAATGAAAAACTGTTGGTGGGTAGAATGCCATCCCTCTGTTCTTTCTCCACATTCCAAACTCGTACTGTTTCGTCAGCACCGGCGGTAAAGAAAGTCCCTGCGGGGAAGTATGGTGAATTTGAGTTGACAACTTCTACGTCGTATACCGTGCCAACGTGAAACAGATGTGATGTGAGTTTGTAGACTTCGTCGTTTTCCGCAACTTGCCAGTGATAAATCGACCGGTCGCTGTAGAAGGCGGTTAGTGTGTTGGTTTTCTCGTGAAATACGATAGAGTGAACGTCTGGGTATCTAAAATTATATTTTATAGCGTGAATGTAAGCAAACAAAGGTAAAGTAAACCTAAACCTTAAAGATGTAACCCAAAAAACTGTAAAGACAATTAAAAACACATAAAATAAGATGAAAAGAAGCCTTGCTCGACGCTAAAACATAATCCCAAAGCCAAAATACCTAAAGATAAACTTCAAAGAACAAAAATAAACCTAAAACTAATCAAAAACCTAATGTACAAGCCAAAAATTAAGCCTACAACCTCAAATAACTTACTGAACCTCAAAAGTCTCGTCTGGATTCGCGTCACAAAGTTCAATCTTCAGGTTGTGAGGCTTTGGCATGACCTTGAACTGCTCAATGTTGTCCGGATTCAGCGCTCTTATTGTGCCATTATTAAAACCCATGTACAATAAGCTATTTCCCATGCAAATTGAGCGTGGAATTTCGCCGTGAAGCTCGTATGTTCCGACCAGCTTTTTGTCGTGTAACTCGAGTAAAAGCTTGGTTACAGTGATTGTAAAGGTACGGTTGTTTGGCGCTGAACAGACATCGACAAAAGTGTTGTTTCGGTTTTCGGCCAGAATGGCGGACCGACCCTAAAAGAAAAATTTCAATTTTAAGTCAAATTAAATTTTGGTAACTTAAGACTTCATGTTTAAGCCTAACGTTAAGTTTTTAAGCCTAAATTTTGCTTTTTAAGCCAAATATTTCATTTTAACTCTCAAACTCAATGTAAAATAATTTTTACCTGCAAAACCTTGTTTTCAGTGTCCAAATGCCAAAATTTAACATGCCGACTGCCAACCGTAACAATCACTTTGCCATTTTCATTCAAATCCATCGCATTCACTTGGGATGAAACTCGAGATTCGGCCATGGTTCGGCTATTCCGCCAGTCCCATACCGTGATAGACTTATCGTGTTGGTTGCCCACTGATATCACTTGATTACTGTCCGCGGTGAAGCGCTGAAATAAAAATGTTAAATTTATAGAAATATTATAACTTCACTTTTTTAACCCAAGCATGAGGTAACCCGTATTTTATCAAAAAATACAAATGTAAAAATCAATTCATAAGCCTAAAATTACATTTTTTAAGCCTAAATATCATTTATGAACTAAAACTAATTTTAAGCCTAAAAATTCATCCTTAAGCCTGATATTCCGTTTCAAGCCAATTTAATGAGTTTTTAAGGCTATCTAACCCAAAATTCAGTTTTAGTCCAAAATTTCATTTTTTCAATCCAAAATTCATTTTAAATCTCATTTTTAAGCCTAAATATCCTTTAAAAACCTTTTAAAAAAATCCACCCCCAACTTACCACACAACTAATCCCGAAGCTATGTCCTTTCAACTCCACTATCTGTTGTCCAAAGTTGTCCTTCTGGCCATCTTTGTGAATCTCCCATACCCTGACCATGGGTTCGTTGCCATACTCGCCGGTGACCAGGTATCGACCGTTCGGACTGAACGCCAAACAGGTAATGTTATTCTTTGAGCTGGAGATGAAATGAGCTTGTGCTTGAGCTCGAGGATTCTGGACGACAACAGTGGACGAGGCCGGATAGGCTACGAGGCCTGCGGTTGGGTCGACTGATATTGATGATGAGCATGCTGTTGAGCCGAGAACTCGTTCGAGTTTTGCCTAAAAGATAATTGAGTTTAAAGGGAGAACAAATTTGACAGTTTAAAGGACAGTGAGCTTAAAATTAATTTTTGAGCCTAAAATGACATTTTTAAGCTTAAACTCCATTTTTATGCCTAAAATTCATTTTTAAACCAAAAATTTCATTTGCAAGCCTACAATTCATTTGTAAGCCTAAACGAATCAATTATCACCAATTTTAATGCTTTAATTTGAATTGCCCAAACTTACCATAACTTTATCAACTTCAAACCTTGTTATTGTCAATTAGAAAACAATTTTAGCCCCAGACTTCCATAACCTTTAAAATAATCTTTAAATATGAACAATATTGATGGAAAACACGTTAGCAAAAAGTGCTGTAAACAGCGGAAATCAAAGCTCGTTTATAGGTAACGATGAGGGGTTAGATGGATCATATTTAAGTGATAAGTTAATTATTTCTAACTAATGACGCTTTAATTATCACAATTAAGAATTATGCTGCCTAGTACGAGTACTATATGGTAAATACTGGCTTTTGCAAGAGATCCAGTACTATAGAAACATCCTGGCATTTGTACAAGACCAAAAGGAAGCTTTAGCTAAAGAAATTAAGCCAAAACACAAATTTAACTAACTATCAGCCGGTAACACATCCATTAACAATAATGTAAGCTTAAAAATCTAATCCGTAAGGCAACGATTTGAAATTCAAAAAGTAGATTTTAACCCCAAGGTAGGCCTGCAAAAGAACTCAACCAGACCTAGTAGCCCCCTTTAAAGTCCATCCTATTTTTTAAATATACCAACCCTAAGGTTTAAAATGCTCAATCAAATATTATTCCCAAGGTAAACATTAAAAAGCGACGAGAAAAAGACACAGCCAGGTAAAAATTCGCAAAAAATGGCTTTCAAACACCCTTTTTGGATAGAAAATGTTGACATAAAGAAGAAAAAACCTACTAAAAACGTAAAAGTTTATCTCTATATTAAGAAGAACGTCTTTAAAATTAAGTACATCTAAACTTTGGCATTGAAAAGAAAGAGAATAAAATATCTTTTCATACTGAAAAGCCCAAATAAGCAACAATAATGTACCTGATATCAAGTTTACTCGAAGAGAAATGAGTCAAAGCTTGTGAAAGAACGTTGAAAATCGCGAAAAAGTAAAAGCAAAGTTATATTATTTTCTTCAGACCTCAATTACCGACTTCAAATAGCTTAATTCTATTTTTCAATCACGCATTTATTGCAAACTGAAGGCAAATATTAGGTTGCTCATATAATTCTGTGCCCCTAAGCCCAAAAAATTGCTTTGACAAAGCCACATAATTATTTGAACAACCTAATACTTCCAGACGGCTTCAAGAATCAAACTTCAAAGCCTGCTGGAAGTTCTTAAACCCTTTCCTAAACAAACTACTACTGCTTAAACATTTACTCAAAACTCAGCGAGTTTTAATCGTTTTCTTCTTAGAAATGCTCAAGATTACTCGTATTTTACAAAGTTAAAATGTAAAATAAAAAAACAAAACTAAAAAATAGCAGAAATTAAGCATAACATTCACTTTTAGCCCAAAATTCTTTTTGAAACCTAAAATTTCATTTTCAAGCCTAAATTTACTTTTTCAAACCTAAAATTCATTTTTAACTTGAATTTCATTTTAATCATAAAAACCTTTATTCAAAGCCTAAAACACAACTTTAGAAAAAACCACCCTAACCTAATCCCCCGCTCTTTAAAGACTTCCAACAATAGCCAGACGGCTAGAAGAATCAATTGCAAAAGTGAATGCTTGCGTCATCGAAACAGAACATGAACGTAGTAAAAAAGCGCGATGAAGAGCCAGCCGCTCCTTCAGCAACACGCACGTTGCTCTTTTGTCGAAAAAAATTGACTCGAAAGGAATTCGATTCATCCCGCAATACTTTTGCGACAAGATTAATGGCGATTCTGGCACCCCGTTGATTGCGTTGCGAGAGGTGATAGTATATCTTAGTACATATATAAAAGACGGAAAATATAAAAATTGTTTAGTCTTTACTGTACAGTTAGTAGCAATAAGAAAAGGATGATATACTGCTGACAGCCAGAACAAATACTACACTGTCTACGCAAAATTCTATTACTTGTTAGAAGAATACTTACTAAACACTAAGAAATGACTAAACCCATAGCCCAAAACTTAAGCCTATTCTTCTTTGCTCCCAACAACAAACAGCTCGCAACAAAATAAATGTGATCGTGAATCGTTGTAATGAGTTCGAAAACATTAAAGCGCATCGATTCAAATTGCTTGATCGTTTCCTAATTAAAACAACAACAGAAAACCGGTACTCTTAATCAACATGCAGCCTTCCTCATTTAGTAAAACAAGCAGATTAACTTTTGGAGAGAAACTAAAAGCTCAAAATAAATTTTTAAAGGGTTACCGTCTATCAAAAACCATTTTTACTGTTTTTGGAAAACTGTTTTTGGTAATTTATTTTTTCAATAAGCACATTCGTACCTAATTTTATTTTCAAAAAAAGTACCACTTCTAAAAAAACTATCCCAAATCTTACCATTTTCTTCACTTTCATTGATTAAAACTTTAATTTTCATCAATATCAATGGCTAAAACACTAATTTTCCTACGAAAATCACCGTTTTCACCGCCTAAACCAACTGTTTATACCTAACCCCACTAATTCACCGTCAAAAATGTCCTTCAAATCGCGCGTGTTAACAAATAAACTACAACTAATTAAGAGTAATTTGTGTTGGAAACTCTTAAAATGGCACTTAAAAGGTTCGTCGCCATATGACCTGGCCCGTGCTTGGCCCCACAATAAAAGCCTGACAAACAAAGGTGACCTCGGCGGATGTGAAAGCGGCTTTTTGAACTTGCGGCATAATATTTTAGAGACTTATGGTTAAGGAGTTAACATAAATAAAAAGAAAACAAAATTCAACATCTCTATCTTAACTTCTCAACCTTAAGGCACAAAAAATCTAAGCTGTAAAATCATACTAATGCAGTTGTAGGCTTAAATCAAAAAAGAACACTACGGCAAAACTATCAAAACTTTTTATGATTCAAAAAACAGCTTCAGTTAAAGTCAGAACAGTTGAGACTAAAGCAAACCGTCATTAAAAATAAACACAGTTTTACGATCCAACGATAACAAGGTAATTAAACACCTTTCTCGACTACAAGGAGTTGTCAAATGTCAATCTTGGGCAAGTAATCAAAACGTTTTGTTTTCATAGAATACTTCATGTCAAGAAAAACTTTTTATGTCAAGAAGATCGGCTTTAACCATACAAACTGATATATAAGCATAGTCAATAAACTAAAATACAATGTTAATCTTGTAAACTCTATGATGAATAACTAATCTTCCAGAGGTCAAAACAAGATTAAAATAACAATAAACAAGTTTTAAAACTATTATAGCTACCCAAAAACAACCCTCAAAAAATTCAAAAATCCACCCCAATCAAACCCCTCCCACCAGTGTTTTGCCGGACCGGGTCCGGTCCGGTCCGGATTTTCAAAAATTCCAAAATTGGAAACAACTTTTTAGCTTATAATTTGAAGTTTTAAAAAATAAATAACTTTTGTGAAAGTCCGTCTCATACAAGTGCCTCGCTAAACATTTCGACCGGCCGGACCGAATCGGTCTTGCCGGTCCGGGTGGTCCATTTCGGTAATAACTTGATAGCCAAAGACGGACCTTCACAAAAGTTGTTTATTTTTTAAAACTTCAAACCATAAGCTTAAAAGTTATTTTCAAGTTTGCATTTTTTTAAAATCCGGACCAGACCGGTCCGGCAAAACACTGCCTCCCACTGTTCCTCCCCGTCCCTACCTTAAAAGTTCGTTTAAACCCCCAAAACATTAGCACATTATTCAGGACAATGTACTTTGTTATAAACTGTCGGAAAAACAAAATGGTCAGAAGGAAGAGCTGACCAGAAAAGTGATTTCGCACTAACAAAAGCGAAAGGATTACAATATCAAGAGAGTTTTACGCTTACAAAGTTAGAGCGATTCTCTTTCGATATCCTGCAGGCTACAACAATATCTATCTCCAGCTCGGACGCTTGTTTTCTCTCTATATTACAGTGTTTAGAGTTGTTTTGTCTTTTTAGCAAAATTAGAGGATACTAGGAAGTTATACTGATATCTCCTTGAGCACAATCGACCAAGAAATAAACTGATATTAAGCGCGAACATTGAGATCAAAAAACTTATATGTTCCAACTTTATACCTACTAAAATAAAAGCTTAAAACCTAATTTATCTAAAACAATATCGTTTCAAAGTCCACTCTCTCTTCCTCACGATGACAAGAGTTAGCCAGTTATCTTGTTACAGATCAAAGACGTTTTTTATTCAAAACTAGCAAGAACAGTCGCAAAAAAGACGCTGTGCTTGTTATCAGTAATCAAAATTATACATGCCTGATAAATTTTTGCAGAACATTAAAGCATTAAGGTTCAAAAGTGCGCTCAAAACCCTGTTTCAAAAAAATATAATGACTACTGATTATGACACATTAAGAAAACTGAAATACAAAACTCTAAATAAAACTCAAATTCCAAAAATTAAAAAATAATGACTTCTCAAGCCTGAAAAAGCCTTGAATCCAATCCTAACTTCCCGAAAACATCGACAACCCTTAAACCAACATCTCGACCGTTAAACCATGACTAATCCGAACTCGTAAAACCCGCTCGAAAACCGTGGAACGATAAAACTGTTCGTCAACCTTCAGTCACCCGCCAAAAAACCCCACAACTTAGTCAGGTAATTTGCACTAGACGAATCCAAGAACGATTCCGGAATGCGAACGGCCTTTGCCTTCAAGGTCTTTGCTTTTTCTTTATTCCTATCCAATTAGGAATTTTTTTATTCGAATATATAAGATCGTAAAATGTTATTATAAGTCAGACCGATGGTATTTTCTTTTCGAAAGCCGCCTAATGATTTCCCAATCGCACGGAGCGTTATTCTTTTAGTAATAAGAGACGTTACTTTCTTAGTAGTAAGGATGAGAGATATTACTTTTATAGTAATAAGGATAAGACGTTGAGAGTTAAAAGATATATTTGAAAAGCTTATTCTCGTAGTAGTTAGCATGGATTCAAACAGAAATATTAGTAAAAACGATAAGCAACCTTATTCTTTTAGCAATCACAGAGAGGAACGTTATTTTTTTCGTAACAAGGAAGACCTATAGCTATAAAGCTAGCTATAACTCTT